TGTTTTGAATAGAAGCCTGTTTTGAATACAAGCCTGTTTTGAATACAAGCCTGTTTTGAATAGAAGCCTGTTTTGAATAGAAGCCTGTTTTGAATAGAAGCCTGTTTTGAATAGAAGCCTGTTTTGAATAGAAGCCTGTTTTGAATAGAAGCCTGTTTTGAATAGAAGCCTGTTTTGAATAGAAGCCTGTTTTGAATACAAGCCTGTTTTGAATACAAGCCTGTTTTGAATACAAGCCTGTTTTGAATACAAGCCTGTTTTGAATACAAGCCTGTTTTGAATACAAGCCTGTTTTGAATACAAGCCTGTTTTGAATACAAGCCTGTTTTGAATACAAGCCTGTTTTGAATACAAGCCTGTTTTGAATACAAGCCTGTTTTGAATACAAGCCTGTTTTGAATACAAGCCTGTTTTGAATACAAGCCTGTTTTGAATACAAGCCTGTTTTGAATACAAGCCTGTTTTGAATACAAGCCTGTTTTGAATACAAGCCTGTTTTGAATACAAGCCTGTTTTGAATACAAGCCTGTTTTGAATACAAGCCTGTTTTGAATACAAGCCTGTTTTGAATACAAGCCTGTTTTGAATACAAGCCTGTTTTGAATACAAGCCTGTTTTGAATACAAGCCTGTTTTGAATACAAGCCTGTTTTGAATACAAGCCTGTTTTGAATACAAGCCTGTTTTGAATACAAGCCTGTTTTGAATACAAGCCTGTTTTGAATACAAGCCTGTTTTGAATACAAGCCTGTTTTGAATACAAGCCTGTTTTGAATACAAGCCTGTTTTGAATACAAGCCTGTTTTGAATACAAGCCTGTTTTGAATACAAGCCTGTTTTGAATACAAGCCTGTTTTGAATACAAGCCTGTTTTGAATACAAGCCTGTTTTGAATACAAGCCTGTTTTGAATACAAGCCTGTTTTGAATACAAGCCTGTTTTGAATACAAGCCTGTTTTGAATACAAGCCTGTTTTGAATACAAGCCTGTTTTGAATACAAGCCTGTTTTGAATACAAGCCTGTTTTGAATACAAGCCTGTTTTGAATACAAGCCTGTTTTGAATACAAGCCTGTTTTGAATAGAAGCCTGTTTTGAATACAAGCCTGTTTTGAATAGAAGCCTGTTTTGAATAGAAGCCTGTTTTGAATAGAAGCCTGTTTTGAATAGAAGCCTGTTTTGAATAGAAGCCTGTTTTGAATAGAAGCCTGTTTTGAATAGAAGCCTGTTTTGAATACAAGCCTGTTTTGAATACAAGCCTGTTTTGAATACAAGCCTGTTTTGAATACAAGCCTGTTTTGAATACAAGCCTGTTTTGAATACAAGCCTGTTTTGAATAGAAGCCTGTTTTGAATACAAGCCTGTTTTGAATACAAGCCTGTTTTGAATACAAGCCTGTTTTGAATACAAGCCTGTTTTGAATACAAGCCTGTTTTGAATACAAGCCTGTTTTGAATACAAGCCTGTTTTGAATACAAGCCTGTTTTGAATACAAGCCTGTTTTGAATACAAGCCTGTTTTGAATACAAGCCTGTTTTGAATACAAGCCTGTTTTGAATACAAGCCTGTTTTGAATACAAGCCTGTTTTGAATACAAGCCTGTTTTGAATACAAGCCTGTTTTGAATACAAGCCTGTTTTGAATACAAGCCTGTTTTGAATACAAGCCTGTTTTGAATACAAGCCTGTTTTGAATACAAGCCTGTTTTGAATAGAAGCCTGTTTTGAATAGAAGCCTGTTTTGAATAGAAGCCTGTTTTGAATAGAAGCCTGTTTTGAATAGAAGCCTGTTTTGAATAGAAGCCTGTTTTGAATAGAAGCCTGTTTTGAATAGAAGCCTGTTTTGAATAGAAGCCTGTTTTGAATAGAAGCCTGTTTTGAATAGAAGCCTGTTTTGAATAGAAGCCTGTTTTGAATAGAAGCCTGTTTTGAATAGAAGCCTGTTTTGAATAGAAGCCTGTTTTGAATAGAAGCCTGTTTTGAATAGAAGCCTGTTTTGAATAGAAGCCTGTTTTGAATAGAAGCCTGTTTTGAATAGAAGCCTGTTTTGAATAGAAGCCTGTTTTGAATAGAAGCCTGTTTTGAATAGAAGCCTGTTTTGAATAGAAGCCTGTTTTGAATAGAAGCCTGTTTTGAATAGAAGCCTGTTTTGAATAGAAGCCTGTTTTGAATAGAAGCCTGTTTTGAATAGAAGCCTGTTTTGAATACAAGCCTGTTTTGAATACAAGCCTGTTTTGAATACAAGCCTGTTTTGAATACAAGCCTGTTTTGAATACAAGCCTGTTTTGAATACAAGCCTGTTTTGAATACAAGCCTGTTTTGAATACAAGCCTGTTTTGAATACAAGCCTGTTTTGAATACAAGCCTGTTTTGAATACAAGCCTGTTTTGAATACAAGCCTGTTTTGAATACAAGCCTGTTTTGAATACAAGCCTGTTTTGAATACAAGCCTGTTTTGAATACAAGCCTGTTTTGAATACAAGCCTGTTTTGAATACAAGCCTGTTTTGAATACAAGCCTGTTTTGAATACAAGCCTGTTTTGAATACAAGCCTGTTTTGAATACAAGCCTGTTTTGAATACAAGCCTGTTTTGAATAGAAGCCTGTTTTGAATAGAAGCCTGTTTTGAATAGAAGCCTGTTTTGAATAGAAGCCTGTTTTGAATAGAAGCCTGTTTTGAATAGAAGCCTGTTTTGAATAGAAGCCTGTTTTGAATAGAAGCCTGTTTTGAATAGAAGCCTGTTTTGAATAGAAGCCTGTTTTGAATAGAAGCCTGTTTTGAATAGAAGCCTGTTTTGAATAGAAGCCTGTTTTGAATACAAGCCTGTTTTGAATACAAGCCTGTTTTGAATAGAAGCCTGTTTTGAATAGAAGCCTGTTTTGAATAGAAGCCTGTTTTGAATAGAAGCCTGTTTTGAATAGAAGCCTGTTTTGAATAGAAGCCTGTTTTGAATAGAAGCCTGTTTTGAATAGAAGCCTGTTTTGAATAGAAGCCTGTTTTGAATAGAAGCCTGTTTTGAATAGAAGCCTGTTTTGAATAGAAGCCTGTTTTGAATAGAAGCCTGTTTTGAATAGAAGCCTGTTTTGAATACAAGCCTGTTTTGAATACAAGCCTGTTTTGAATACAAGCCTGTTTTGAATACAAGCCTGTTTTGAATACAAGCCTGTTTTGAATACAAGCCTGTTTTGAATACAAGCCTGTTTTGAATACAAGCCTGTTTTGAATACAAGCCTGTTTTGAATACAAGCCTGTTTTGAATACAAGCCTGTTTTGAATACAAGCCTGTTTTGAATACAAGCCTGTTTTGAATACAAGCCTGTTTTGAATACAAGCCTGTTTTGAATACAAGCCTGTTTTGAATACAAGCCTGTTTTGAATACAAGCCTGTTTTGAATACAAGCCTGTTTTGAATACAAGCCTGTTTTGAATACAAGCCTGTTTTGAATACAAGCCTGTTTTGAATACAAGCCTGTTTTGAATACAAGCCTGTTTTGAATACAAGCCTGTTTTGAATACAAGCCTGTTTTGAATAGAAGCCTGTTTTGAATAGAAGCCTGTTTTGAATACAAGCCTGTTTTGAATACAAGCCTGTTTTGAATACAAGCCTGTTTTGAATACAAGCCTGTTTTGAATACAAGCCTGTTTTGAATACAAGCCTGTTTTGAATACAAGCCTGTTTTGAATACAAGCCTGTTTTGAATAGAAGCCTGTTTTGAATACAAGCCTGTTTTGAATAGAAGCCTGTTTTGAATACAAGCCTGTTTTGAATAGAAGCCTGTTTTGAATAGAAGCCTGTTTTGAATAGAAGCCTGTTTTGAATAGAAGCCTGTTTTGAATAGAAGCCTGTTTTGAATAGAAGCCTGTTTTGAATACAAGCCTGTTTTGAATACAAGCCTGTTTTGAATACAAGCCTGTTTTGAATACAAGCCTGTTTTGAATACAAGCCTGTTTTGAATACAAGCCTGTTTTGAATACAAGCCTGTTTTGAATACAAGCCTGTTTTGAATACAAGCCTGTTTTGAATACAAGCCTGTTTTGAATACAAGCCTGTTTTGAATACAAGCCTGTTTTGAATACAAGCCTGTTTTGAATACAAGCCTGTTTTGAATACAAGCCTGTTTTGAATACAAGCCTGTTTTGAATACAAGCCTGTTTTGAATACAAGCCTGTTTTGAATACAAGCCTGTTTTGAATACAAGCCTGTTTTGAATACAAGCCTGTTTTGAATACAAGCCTGTTTTGAATACAAGCCTGTTTTGAATACAAGCCTGTTTTGAATACAAGCCTGTTTTGAATACAAGCCTGTTTTGAATAGAAGCCTGTTTTGAATAGAAGCCTGTTTTGAATACAAGCCTGTTTTGAATACAAGCCTGTTTTGAATACAAGCCTGTTTTGAATACAAGCCTGTTTTGAATACAAGCCTGTTTTGAATACAAGCCTGTTTTGAATACAAGCCTGTTTTGAATAGAAGCCTGTTTTGAATACAAGCCTGTTTTGAATAGAAGCCTGTTTTGAATACAAGCCTGTTTTGAATAGAAGCCTGATTTTTAAGATACACTGTCAGTGTCAGTGCATAAGCCTGGTTTAGTGTTGACATACATAGAGATACATGGTTTGAATAGAAGCCTGGCTTGAATAGAAGCCTAGCGCTGATATCGGCTTATACGGCCGTAAGCACCTGCTTTTATACGCGACATTACGGTACTTGTGGATTTTGTTGTATTTATGGGGCCTTGGAGTTCGGAGTTTTTTTGTCTTTCGCCCTTTCATTAGTTTAAGTAGCCATAAGCACAACGAAATGATGCATAAGCATCCTCGTATGGATATCATTTCTAGGGCCTATGCATGCTAGAGAACATCTTACAAATAAACAGCACTTCTTCTCTAAAAGCTTTTTCATGGCCAAAGTGGTTCTAGCTTCCTTAACTGGCATTTCCTGGCTGTTTTTATTGAAACTCAGTCGCTAGGATAGGATAGCCTTCCCAGTCCTTGATCCTTTGTGTGCCTCAAAATGCCTGGTTTTGGATTTGCTGGGCTGTGCGTGTACCCTAGCCTGCTGAGATGGATATATCTGACTGTACCGTGAGTTGTGCAATGCTCTCAATAACCCCAGTGTGGTGATTGTTATTGTGACTGTATCTGACTGTACCGTGAGTTGTGCAATGCTCTCCATAACCCCAGTGTGGTTATTGTTATTGTGGCAGGCGGTGACTGTAATACTCGCTCTACTTGGCGTGTTCAGTGCCGTGCGTCACGTCCGCTACATCATGATATCACTGGATAAGTTCCTGCACGCCGAGCGGCGCTTCTTCAGGAACAACGCCGATGCCCAGTACTCGTCGAAGAGGACGCTAAAAGATCGCGTTGGCAAAAAGCTGCGCCTGCTCCGAGTGGTGGTGAGCATGCTGCTCGTGTTGTTATGTCTTCTGTGATTCTGTTGTGTTTTCTGTGATTCTGTTGTGTCTTCTGTGATTCTGCCGCTCTTTACAGTTGCTGTCGTGTATTCGATGTGGCAAACTAATTATCCCCACCTCTGACATGACTTGTGAATGCATGAAATGAGCAAACTAGTATCTGTCTGTCCATCTGCCCCCCCCCCCCCCTCTCTCTCTCTCTCTCTCCCTGAGTCCATGTGTGTGTGTGTTTGTGTGTGTCTGTCTGTCTCCCCTTCTTCAGCTTGTGTTCACGCTGGCGTTCCCGCTAGTGTACATCATCGGCAGCGCCGTAGCCCAAGCCCGCTTCCAAAGCCAGACCAACATACAGGCAATGCTGCGTGAATGCTTCGAAGCCTTCTTCCTTCTACTCCTGCTGTGGGCATTCCGCCTCAGGGAGTGCTGTGATTACGCGCTGATAAAGATTGACACACACCCAAAGGAAAGTGAACAATCTATCGTATTGCTGGGTGCTGGAAAGACGACCATGTTCTTCTCGCAAAACAGCGAGAGGTGTTCCGCGATTGCCACATCGTCGACATGAGAGACGACCATGTTCTTCTCGCAAAACAGCGAGACGTGTTCCGCGATTGCCACATCGTCGACATGAGAGCATTTTTTTAAACATTCCCGTGAGCACCAAGTCAACCCTAGCTGGTCTTATGGGTGAGTCTTGTATGATTTGTAAAGAGCAGCCGAGCCACCAGTGGTCAGCAATCATGCGTATTCAAACTAGAAATTGATCATGTCGATAGTATTGACGGGCTATTCCGACAAACTGGCATAAGCATTATCCTTAGGATACATTATTTACTTGAGGAACAGGGTTCCAGATTTGAATTAGCCACACACCTCTCCTCCCTCCTTCCCCCTGTAGCATCTTGCATTGACCTCGTTTGGCCAGGCTACCTTGAATTTTATTCACACTTAATACGTGCCTGCAAGGGGGAGAGAGATTGCTTGCAACATGGCACGTTCAATCTGGTTTCCATCACTTTGCCTGCTGCATTATATAATTTATAATCAAACCGGCCTATCGACCATGCAACAATATAGACAGCTTTGAAAGCAACTACTTTACCGGACCTATTCATCAGACCATATACTGTATGTGAATAGGGATTGCAAGTGCCATTTTGCTTGCAATGGAACCTATTCTAGTGCTATTTCTCGTGCTACTGTTGTTGAGGCATTTACTGTGTGTGTGTATCTTGATTTTGATGTGCCACACTGACAAATAATTAGTAGCAATCCTTTTTATATCCCTGCCCATATATAATTATGGCGCTGCTATAATTTGGCACTGCTCAACAAATGTTAGCGCTTCTAGGCTCGTACTGAGATCATACTGAGATTGTGGCGTTGAAATCAAACCAGCACCAGATCAAAATTGCATGTACAAGTAGTAACAATAATTTTCCCAAATCTTGGAAAGAATTTCAAACTACAAACTACTTCATACTGAGAATGTGGCGTTGTAATCACTAGATAAACCAGCATCAGATTAAAATTGCATGTAGTAACAATAATTTTCCCTAATCCTTGGAAGAATTTCAAACTACGAAAGGCAGACCAGATAGAAAACTATAAAAAAATGAACACAACGTACACACATCCATGGATAAAAAGAAATAGTTCCCTGCCCAGCTACGATGCAAGGCTCTCTTTGGCAAGGCTTTTTTTGTTAATAAATCACGTGCAGTGTAGATCATCGGCGTGAGCGAAGACTCCTACCTGATGCAGCAACAGCTGCAGCAGGTGGTATTGGTGGTGGCTTCTCCGGCGAGCTGAAGCCCTGTGTCTCCTCGATGCATGTAGCGTGCAGTGCTGTTCCATTGGGAGAGTGTAGCATAGATGTGGTTGACACACTGTACGCAATACACGAATTCCAAACATAAACAACCTAAGTGTGCGTGAAATGTACGTGCTCAAAAACACAGCAGTGTTGTCCAACGAAAGCAGGCCTTGTGAGCTGGGCTAGTTCTAGGTAAGTGTATGCTGTACTAAACGCAGCCGTACCCATGCAAACACTGGACTGTGACTAGGGGGCTGGATGTCATTCAGGACACGTGTAGTAAAGTTCTAGCCAGTTGCATTTGACCCGATGATGAATACTGTAGCGCCATGATCCAGTGTGTGCGGTGCTAGGGCCAGGTAGTGTAGTGCCCAGTGCTAGTTTATTCATTAGGACGGATATCACAGGGCCATGTAGTGCGGTGCCTAGTGCTAGTTTATTCATTAGGACGGATATCACAGGGCAGCATACATAGCAAAGGTCAGGACATTACTTTTACACAGCATAGCAAGCAAAGTATCACGGTGTGTACGGTGGTAAATGTAGTCGAAAAAGGTATGAACCGTGTGTAAATCAGCATCACGTGTCCAGTGTCTAATCAAGGATCAAGCAATACAGCAGACCTCTGTCCACAGAGTGATCAGTACTGACTACTCGTACCCCTGTTGGTGGAGGATTGCAATTACTGTGAAAGCCCGAGTCCCTTCTTCTGTGCTACACACACATGATATATTAGCCACTGCCAAAATTAAAACTGGTAAAAATTCAAGCAGCACTTACCGACTCGTGGGTTTCTGTGGTGGAGAATAATCCATTTGCGTCTCCTCAGCCAGAATTTGAGGTGAGATGTCAGCGGATGTTCGCTGCAGCCAGGAAAACAAGTAAAGAAAATGGTTAGTAAGGGAGCATCTCATAAGTTCGCACCTATTTTGTAAACGTAACGCATTTCGAATAGACTTTACCCCCCTACCTCCCCCCTCTATTCGAAAGTCTTATCGCACATTTTCCGTGTGGATCTTTATACTGTACTGTGCGTGTCCATGCCCATGCATGCCATGCCCATGGTATGCACATGTACAAAATTAATGTACACTGTACATGGACATGAATGTCAAAGTGAATAGCATACGACTACTTACTGTAGTCAGTAGTACCCCATCTACATAAATGTAGATATTGAGTACAAGTACAATGAATGACTTGTACACGCACATAAACAGAGTTCCTCCACAACAACTAGTGTACTGACTCTGTAAAAGCTGGCCAGGTACACAGTTTGATCAGGCTGGTGTGACATTTGACACCTCTGAGTAGCCTGCATGAATGCAGTGTATGCAAGGTTTAGCTGACCTCCAAACACAGGTACAAAAATAATAGATGTACACCTAAACACACTCATTTGCTGAAGTACTACACAGAACATGCACTGCATGCACATTATGTACACATCCAGAAAATGTGCGAACTGTCATTTTTCTATTCGAAAAGGGCGTTACCCCCCTACCCCCGTTTCGAAATGCGTTACGTTTAGGAAAAAAATGTGAACTAATGAGATGCTCCCTAAGTTAAAATCCAGCTCCGCACAATTATATGAAAAGAATGCAGGACACATGGCCTCTTTGGTTTGGGACTGCTTGCATGGTTGATTCACCGTCGCAGAATTAACACCAGAGCCACACGGCTGTGTAAGCAGATAACTCCTATGTGAATAAAAAGCTCTCCCCCCCCCCCCCCCCCCTCTCTCTCTCTCTCTCTCTCTCTCTCTTTCACTCTCGTGACATAGCCCCGAGATCTGCTGCTCCAAAACATACACAGGGAACAGGTGTACAAGATGACCCACGGACAGTACAGGGAAGAAAATAAGGCTTACTGGTGCAGGCGCAGTGACGAAAACACCACTTGAATCTGGTGTAGAGGCACCGGGGAACTGTGTCTCAGCATTGTCATCATCAAATGATGCTTGTGCACAGTCATCAGCATCGACACCATTGATCAGTGATTGGGGTGGTAGTAATGGCGGTTGGACGGCATTGCCAAAGAACACACCCTGATCTACGTCTGAGACACTGGTATTGCTGGTGGTGCTGGCAGCGCAGCCCGACTCCGATGCAGCAGTGGCGGCTGCAAGCAATGGCTGCGAGTCGCACTGGCTGAATTCGTCCACGGCACCGCTCTCCTGATCCAGGGTGTTCCCCTGTGCACTGCTGTTTCTAACATCAGCACCATTGCATGCGGTTGAATCCAGCACTGTCCCTGTCGCACTGCCAGTGGCACTCTCCAGTACTGGCATTGAATTGCATTGTGTTTCCCAAGTACAGTCCATTGCCCTGGCAGAGCCACTCCCCAAGTCTTGGCCATCTTCGCCTGAGTCATCAATACCCCCATGTGTCGCACTCGTGTTTGTGGTGATCGGAACGCCAGTATACTCTTCTTCCACCTCACTGCAGGTGTATTCGGCCGTAGCGTCGCTCGCAGTACACTCAGAACCATCATCCTGCTGCTGCCGACGGTGGTGCTTATGCTGCCGCTGCTGCAGCTGCACAACACCAGCTGGAGTAGGAGATCCGATATCATTGCACTGTCGCTCGGTCTTGCTACATCCAGTCTTGGCTGCAGATTGTTGCTCGTTTTCGGCACAAACTCCGTCGCTATCACTCTCCATCATGAAGGCACGTGACTGCATTTCTTGGCACAGAGCGCCTCTGCTTTCATGTGTGAGTGGTGATACTGCAGATGGAGCATGCTTGGACCTGGTCGAGCGACGCTTCTTCAGCTGCGGGGATGACAACGTTGAATCAAACTCATGCGATGATCCACTTCTCGTTTGCTCAAAGTCGTCATCAGAGATAACCTGCTTGGTGAACGACTGGTTGCCTGAGCGCTTGCGCTTGTTCTTCCTGCCCCCTCGGCCAATACCGGCATTGTCGGAGACAAGATCCTGAACAGTGACTTCGGATTCTTCCAGGTGCGTTGTCTGCTTATCTGCGGCATTGTCATCCAACCGCCGGACATTGTCATCGTCGGATGACGGTGCTTCAATGTACGACTGGCGCACGGCACGTCTACGTGTGCTGCGGCGGTTCTGAGACGAGTAGCCGGTTTGCAAGAAGTCCTGCGGATCGACATCAGTATCGGTACTCGACGCCATCGGCGCCTCTTCCTCATCACTGAGCGCCAGTGTCTTCTTGCGCGTTGAGCGCTGCCGACGTTTGGCCGGTAGTTGTACACGTGGTGATGGCCGCGCCTTTCCATGTCGCGGTGAAGACCGAACACGCTGAGCTGGAGAGCGGCTAGCATTCCTGGAAGGGGTGATCGCCTCGGCAACTGGACCAACCGGGGCAGCAGCAGCTCCCGTGCCACCCTGCCGTCGCTGCCTGACCTCGTCGATGAGATGATCAAAGTGACCCTGATGGTGTTGAGCTGGAGAACAGACACAACACCAATACAAACATCCACACATCAAAAATTATGAAACATAGGACACCGCATGGACCAGGGCTTTAACATGACTCCACACCTCACAGCAGAAGTTTGCCCACATAGTGATAGCTCCACCACGATTACATACTGGTGAACCAGACTATGCAACTTCCGGAGAAAGCGGCCATAGCGACATTCTACTGTTTGGGTCATAGCAACTTGGTATTTTGCTGCATCACACACATTCTCACACACAGGTTGCGGTTTCACAAAGTTTATTTCTGTGGCGCATATGTTTAATATGGTTCCCGCTAGTTTCCTCTCTTCCCAAATCCAAGCTATTCAGCATAAGCGAAGCTGTGGACTCAGCACCCTGCTGGTTCACTTCAATGCGGATATGCAGACAAAAATAATACAGGCAGTTGACACTGAATGAGCTGATAATACCAAACAAAACTTCCACTTTTACAGTAATTTAATGAACCCTTTGCCATCCGACCAAATTTCCCCAGCAGTCCCAAATGCAATAATTCTCACCTTATTCTGAGAATATCTTCGGTTCTAATCAACCAATTTTCACAATCTTGGGCATTCTGGAAAGCTCTCCGCGAGCTGCGTACATCGAGCTCAAACAGGACACTACCGAGATCACATATCCAGCGCCAGGGAGCTTCAAATACACCCCATCGCTGGATATACGAGGAAATTCTCTCCTCGCCAGCCATTTCTCGCTCCTTCCATTTCTCGCTCCTTCATCGTAAACATTCCAAATTTTTTGCTTGAGTTTCTTTTCATGCTGCCCACGCGCTCAAAGCATGCCAAAGTGACTCAGCATGTCAGGAGAGGGGAAAAATCCCCGCTCAAGGTCAGTCACTCGGAAAGAAATTCGACTTTTGCCGTAGCTGAAATGTCGAGCGCAATATCTTTGGAATGCAACTAGGGGTCAAACGGGTGTTCCGGGTACCCGGGTACCCGCCCGTTAATCTCAGGTACCAATAGTAAAAGGGTACCCGTTTGTAAAAAAAAAAAAAAAAAAAAAGTTAGATTTCGATGATCCTATCGTATGCCAAGACTCAAAATAGGAGTGCGGATACTCTTTTCCTTTTCCTGTGCATTCCCGCTTTCGACTTAGTCAGGCAGGAGCAGGCTGAAAGACAGCCGTTCTCTCCACTCTAGTCCAAGTAAAAATCCTCGTACTGGGGGTTTTGATTGTAATGTGAGAAAATGCAAGACTTGAAACCGAGTCGTTCGAGGTGGCAGCTCAGTTACTAGAAAGTTACGATGGTTCTCCGACATCGACATCGAACCTGCCACAGTACTTGAAAATGAACTAGTGTCACCAGGCTGAGTGACCAGTCGGAGTGTCACACACGGTGATGTCCGTAGGTGGTAGCTATGATACTCATGGTTGTAGTTTGTTCCTTCAATCGACGAACTCGGTTTAGTTGAAAAGTTGTTCGAAATATTGCATACAAGATTACAGATTTGTGAAGATTCGTTTCACGAGTTCAACGAGCTAGCACTAGCAGCTAGCTGGCCAGCAGCACATCAGCTGTGTCAGGCACCCCAGCTAGCAATGGGTGCAAACATCTTCTGAATGGGAAGAGTACCAGTTCTCTGCGAACATAGCAAAAAGGATTGGGCGAGATCACGGGAGTTTTGCTAAACTATTCTGTCCTTGCATGGCTTGAATCACATCGATCTGCAGTTGATTTTGCGTACATGTATCAAAATACATGTAGCACTAGGACCATGTACGATTGTAACTGCCTGTGAAGTTATGTACATGGGCAAATGTACGGATGACATTCATTTGGAACCTTCATTGCCATAATATTATCATGAGACACGAATAAATAGAATGCGAATCATAATGTGGTATCAAAATACAACCTGAGAATATACAAATTTAAATCATGATTTATGTGATAAATGCACACAAAAATAATATGGCTGCTAAAGGGTACCCGTTAACCCGCCCGTTAAGAAAATTACCCGTTCGTTAGTTAAAGGTACACCCGTTTGACCCCTAAATGAAACATCACAGCTCTTTACCGATTGATGCAATGGAAAGCTGAGCTCTTCGGCTTCTTCCTAGATACTTAGTTATTTAAATTCCGACAAGAATCGATCGAGTTACGAATGTTTTAGTGTATGCATGTCCATCGATCTCTAGAGATCGATTCAAGTACGCACGGATGGTAACGGGTTAATATTGTAGCTAAGATTCAACGAAGTACGAGTATGTACTTGAACTAGGTGTGAAAATGACCTCTCCTCCAAGAAAGATAACAGTGTACGTTGAAGTACTACTATGTCACACCCATACACATTGTGGTGACAATGAATCCCAGCTTTGCTGTGTGTCACTTCGCTCAAGCAAACATCAACCGGCCAACTGCCGCATAATATTCGAACACTCACCATACTCCTGTCGCAACTTGTTCTTCTCATCCACGGACTGATTGGACTCAAAGCGAAGCGGTCTCTGTGCAGATAGACAACACAAACAGTGTAACAGCCTGCTGTCAATATCTTGATTCAGCGAGAGACTGAAAGCCTTTACTAAGCTAAGGGCAAACTACGACATTGGCTCACATCCTCTGAGGAGGCAACACAAGTCAGAACAAGAGGGAAGCAAGAATGAAGCAATGGGAACAACCTGGCAACATTATTAGAGGTGTAGACTCATCTGCATGGCATGGAGAAACCTGGCAGCAATTAAATATCAGGGCCAAGAGTTTAAATTCCGGCCCTAACGCACTTTTCTTTTAAAAGGGTTCAAACTGACAAGTCAGTCACCCACGCATAGTACAAACGGCATAGATACTAAGCACCCATAGTACAAGCAGCAAAGGCACTACCCAAAATAAGAGTGCTCTGTAGCAACCAATATTGCATCTTCCAAAAGGGCTCCATCTTGCAACTGGCAGGTTAGAAACAATCATTGAAATGTGACTGCATGTACCAGTACCAGATATATACCCAGACTGCAGCAAGCGCTAACCATGACACAATAACCAGTGCCATACTACACCTCTCAGCAATACAGTGCACCTCTCAGCAATACAGTGCACCTCTCGCTTACACAGGCACATACATGTACAAGTACATGGTCTGCATGAACTTATCCACCAGACCCAGGTCATCATCACCCATGCTGTTACGCCAGGGTTGGCACACGTATTGGCACGTGCCGTATCTGAAAATCTACACGTTCATGCTCTGTGGGCAGTCATGACACTGACCACCACCAGCACTGATGGCCATGCTAGTCATGGCACTACCACTGGCCGGCACTGATAACCATGCTAGTCATGGGGGCTGTGTAGGTGTGCGTGAAAAGCAGGGCCAAGCTGATACACACGGTGTGATACCACACATGGGGAGCCAAATGGTGCCAGTCTAACAGTAACTGTCCACTTCTCAATGCTCACTCAAGCTCTGTTTCAACAAGAAATTAGTCTGTTGGCTACGATACGCTGGCAAGACAAACAGTGCGTGAAGATATGCAAAGTTTCAAGTACTTTCAAAGAAATCGCAACACCGAACCAGTACAGGACAGCTTTGCCTGAATAACTGCAAGTGTTGGCTGGAAAACTGCAAATGCTGGTTGCTCATCACAGCTTCTGTCAGCAAGAGTGCAGGAGAACGACCCCCAGTGGAAATTTACCCATCATCCGAGGGGTACTCATTTAAGTGAAACAATCATAAAGAACAAAGCACCTCAACATGTTCATGTAAACTATAAAACTGAAACCAACAAGTGCACTTACTTGGCTCATGGATGTCACGCCACGGGACAACGGTGCAGAACCGGCCGCACGAGCTCTTTCTTCTTCGTCGATGGCCTTGGCTATTTCCACGCCTAAAAGGCAAGCGATGGATATTGTACAGGCACGCACATAAGTACACAAGAATATGAGAAAAAAAGAGTGAGGAAGAAACGAGAATGCAAAACGGACATGCTCGCCTAGAAAGAGAGAAACTGAGTGGAGGGAGAAAGGAGATGCAGTAGCTGTGCAAACATAAATATTTCATCCTTCAGGGACTGCAGTAGATAGATTGATCGAGATCAAGAAAGACGAACGGACAGACAGACAGAAGAGAAAAGGAGAGAGAGAGAGAGAGAGAGAGAGAGAGAGAGAGAGAGAGAGAGAGAGAAAGAGAGAGAGAGAGAGAGAGAGAAAGAGAGAGAGAGAGAGAGAGAGAGAGAGAGAGAGAGAGAGAGAGAGAGAGAGAGAGAGAGAGAGAGAACCATGTGACCCAGATGACAGTCAGACTACAAACCCATGCACTAACACAAAGAAGAGAAGCCGTGCAGTACCTGATCTGGGATTGCTTGAATCTGCTTCAGCATTGTAGCGGAGGACAAATTCCTGGTGCCGTTTCACCATAGCCTGTGGTGCAAAGGGCAGTAAGGAATCAAGCACAGGCTTGACTGTGATTACAAAACATACACAAGCAGTTTGACGGCGGGTGGCGTGTGTTCAAAATGATGCACGTGTGATACGGCTGGCTGCACCCTGGTAGTACAAACTTTGAAACTTTCGGAGGTGCACAGCAGCCAGGGCTTGTTATTTGCTAACGGAAACTGGCGCACCCAGTTGCCGGTTTACAATAAAAGTCTGCCACACACCACCTTTCGTACTACACCGTGAGTGAAGCTAAAATTAATTACACACGAAAGGGATGAAGTTGGTTGCTCCCATGCGGAGCAGACGCTGTGCGGAGCATACGCTATGCGGAGCACACGCTTTCTGCCGAACTTGACACTTGCACCTAGGAGCAACCAACTACTTCATCTACTAAAACCGCCAAAGTTGCTACTTCTTAAAGGGGAAGTTAAGGCAAAAATTAAAATTTCACCAGTTGTAGTCTTCGGGGTGCTGAGTCGAATGGTCTTGGTCCGAGAAAGCTGAGACGCTCCCTTCCTACTTGAATCCCAATCGAACTCGCGCACTTCCACCGAAACTGGGTGACTGCGCCCTACTAGATGGGGATTTGTATGCAAAATGTCACTAAAAGTGCCATTTCGTTCTTATAAAAGCACGGATGACCGCGATTGGCCCATATGTTGTAGTCTTTTGGACGCTGAGTCGACTGGTTTTGGTCCGAAAAGGCTGCGATGCAGCGTTCCTCCTTTATTCCCAATCGAACATGGTTGAACAAGCGGTCACGTGCTCCTGGGTGCCCAAATCACCTGGTCACCACGCCAGCAGGCGACAACTTTCACACCAAGGTTCACCCAAAAAAGGTCAAACAGGCTAGTAAGTTGTACCCTGCAGGCACGGTGACCAGGTGACTGGTGTACGCAGGAGCACGTGACCGCTTGTTCAACCATGTTCGATTGGGAATAAAGAAGGAACGCTGCATCGCAGCCTTTTCGGACCAAAACCAGTCGACTCAGCGTCCAAAAGACTACAACATATGGGCCAATCGCGGTCATCCGTGCTTTTATAAGAACGAAATGGCACTTTTAGTGACATTTTGCATACAAATCCCCATCTAGTAGGGCGCAGTCACCCAGTTTTGGTGGAAGTGCGCGAGTTCGATTGGGATTCAAGTAGGAAGGGAGCGTCTCAGCTTTCTCGGACCAAGACCATTCAGCACCCCGAAGACTACAACTGGTGAAATTTTAATTTTTGCCTTAACTTCCCCTTTAACACGACATGGTATGTATATACACACTGTACCAGTACTCAGACAGGGGCATGCCCGAATGTGTAACTACGCTGCACACGTGCCACAGGCCCACAACACAAGGCATGTCCGTTCCAGAGAGGCTACTAACCTGCTTTGATCCATGTGTTGGCAAGCTGCAGTCCCTCAGGTGCTTGCGCAGCTGCTTGTCAGACAGCAGAGTGTAGACCAAGCGTGGCATGGATTTGCGGCTAGCAAAGACAAAAAAAAACGTACAGATCAACAAAGTGTTCTCAACAGAGAAAAAAAACTAAAGATACCGTATTTTCCAGAGCATAAGCCACACTGGAGTATAAGCCGCACCCAACCAGATTTTTGTCACAAAAACAGATCTACCCTGTATATCATGGTTCATTTTGACTATCGTAGTAAGCCGCACCGACCCTTTTTCAGGTGAATTGTGAGTGGTTAAGTTAAAGTGGCTTATACTCCGGAAAATACGGTAAACACATCGAATGATACAGGTGCTACACACGACAATGGCAATAGTACAGAATGACACAAGTACAAGACACTATCCGCAAGTCTTAGATATGTCAGTGCATAGCCTGCTCAACAGTTGACTAAACCCTTCGGTATTCAATTACAAGCAAGCTGGTGTTAACATAGATGTACTCAGCATGTCATGGAGCAAAGGAGACACTTACCTGACAGCAGTTGTTGTTGAAGTACTACTAGCAGTTGTTTTGTGGATAGCTGCCGCCGCTGATGATGCTGCAGCTGGCTTGGAGTCGCTGATAATCACAGGACCTGTGCTCATGGGAGCTGGAGCCGGCAAGGACAAGGTCAGTGCAGTAGATGCCGGGACCAGTGTAAGCTTGGGCTTGTGACCCTCGTGCGACAGGCACCGGTCTAGATGTGAGTTGACACTTCGACTCGGCACCAGGACAGCGCACACCGGACACTTCACTGCACGGCATGGAGCAGGAGGAGGTAACACAGCAAGAAAATGCTAGGTTAGCATACTAGTACATCAATGATCACCAGCATCTTGTACAGTGGTGGCAAGTCAACCCTGTCCCCATGATACACTGAGTGCGGTAGACTATGCCCGCGAAATCGCGAATCAATGTTGAATCCATTCATGAATCGCCCCTGGCTATTCACATCACCCCATGTGAATGAGCCATTGCGCATTGCCAAATATGGAAGGTATGAGTAATGCATGTGAGTACACTGGGATCAGGAATGCACTGTTCAACACCCCAGACGACCATGCCCAGGTGGCTGTGTGGGGTGTTTGTGGTACAAATTACGTCATTGCGCAATGAGCTTATAGGCCCGGTTTATAATAGGGTGAATGGATTCCGAACGGATTCCAGGGCTCATGACATGAAATCGAACGACGAGATTCCATTCATGAAACGATCCACGGCAGTAATCGAACGCAGCCACCGTAGAACAGCATGATACTGCACAACCATTGCAGAATCCGCAATGCAAAAATATACCACATGAACACAAGGATGAGTTACAGCCAGCAGGCAGCTGCAAGGCTGCACAGAACAAGAGTCACCTAGCACTCACCTCGCTCTGATGAATCGGGACCACCAGGTGCAGGAACTGCACAGACGACATCAACAGTCGATGCACTACTAACAGCGGACTCCGATGAAGACACCACAAGGGGTGCGTCGCTAACAACAGAAGTCACTGCTGCCACATCTCTGTGAATATGACTTGACCCAGCGGTAAAGTTGCCGTAACCATTCACAATTTGCTGAGTGTCGGGCATCGACATGGGAGGTTCAGGGACGGCTGCTGCTTCCTGGCTATCGCTCAATACGGATACATTATGTCCATCGTGTGACTGATATCCACTGGCAGTGGACTGCACTTTATCAGATTTATCAGATGGCTCTGGCAAAGCATCCACGTGACCGTCGTGTTGAACAGCGGCATTGCCTGCACCTTCCCAGGGCTCTGAAAACATATACGAGCAGGGAATATCATCGCTCGGTCGGTTAGACGCAATTTTACTCCTCACACCAGGGAGTGGCGCGCGAGTTGCTTCCGGGCTCCGTAGGGTTTTAACAGAAGCAGGGCGGCGACTAGCCACTGGTTGCTCTGTGCGCTTCACTTCAGTGGAGACAGCGGATGCTGAGGACGGTCCAGCGACTGACGTGGTGCGCACGGCACTTAGCAGACGACCACGCACGTTGCGAAACCTGTTCACGAACTCGCCGAGCGAGCGATTGGCGATGACATCAGCCTCCACTGCTCCCTGCACGTGCACAGAAAGAGGAAAAGCAGACTTTACAATGATTTATATATCAACACCATTGGCCTGTCATGGGGCAGATACTAATGGGCCCTTCGCAACTCATAAATATAAGCACAAACCAAATCTTGACAAACAGCTCCTCCATGCATCAACCGAAACCTGCAAGTGGCTATGAATATAATACATACCGCAAAAGCGGAGCGTCAAGTGGTCACATGCCAAGCATCAACTCGTTTATCGTTTGCACAGCCTATTCTGGGGATACCTTTCCATTTTCTTCGGAATATGTGTAGTACTGCGATCATTTGCCGAGCACCTCATCACGTCAGCTTTCCCATCAGCATTCACGACAGTCCTGAATGGCCCCTGCGCCTCAGTTCCTAGTACATACCGGTAGCCTCGAGTGGCATCATAGTTCCGTTGATGCCCGCGTGTACAAGCCCTAGGTCTACACACTATGCCGTCTGCTTTGTCGCACAATACGGCACCTGATACATTCTTCGGTGTGGGTGTTTACTATCATAAACTGATACATGCTACCTTTCCATGCATGAGCGTACAAAGGTAGCCTGATACAGGCTACCTTTCCATGAATAAGCGTGCACCGGTAGCCTGTCATGTATGCCTCCAGTCGAGGCCAGTGGTTCAGTTTTGCATTTATGCCACTACCAATGGTTTTGAACAGACGGTGAGGTGACAAAAGTTTAAGGATGGCAATAAATAAAATCAGCTGAAGCGTCATGTAGTTATTTCTTTGTCCATCACCACTTTCTCTAGAATTTGTTCGTGACAAGACGCCTCAATTTGGCCAGAGAATTACGAGAGATTTCTTCCGCCACTGGTCTTATCGCGTGTGAACTTTGTGCCGGCAGCTTCACGAGCTTTTCTCGCGCAAACACAACAAAGAAAAATGCAACCGGTTAGAAGAGCACTTTAAACAGAACACTTACTTGATGACACTGGGGGCAATCCTTCTGATACATGCGAAGGTACCGACGGACACAAACTGAACAAACTGCAGCAGAGGACAGCCAGAACAACGTACAGGGTTAATGAACACACACAGACTGGATTGACAGCATACACAAAAACACATAAATCAAATTGCTTCTGAAACCATGTTGGATTATATTCTCACATGAAAATACATGCCACTTTTGTACACACACAGGAACTCATACCTGAATGAGCTTTGCACTGATGTGATGGGTGCCTGGTAATGTATATATAACTGAACCTATCTATCTGTCTATTGCTTCACTATTCATTGATCATGCTGTAAGCCTACATGGGTAGTGTTTCACCCAGTATGACAGTTTGCCCTTTCATCAATCATCGTGGTCTGCTGCACACGATGCATGGATATGTTTCCTTTGTTTTGCATTGCTTGCTGCATGCACGCTTTCAGTCTTATCATGCTATCGTTAGTTCCGGTATAGTGCTTTGTTGCGAGTCTTGCGTGCTGTGCGTAGAAGTCGTACCACCGCACTCAGTATCGCTCTAGCCCAATAATCCATATGCATCTGAGTTGGCTGTACTCAGTGGCCTTTTGGGAACTCTTTGCCATGAGTTCATGAGTAGTTCTTATGTTGTCGTTTTGCTCTCAACTTGTTTTCTCTCTCTCTCTCTCTCTCTCTCTCTGAAATGTTCTTCCCTGAATAACAACTAATTACTTTCGTACTGCCTGTTGGTCGAGTTGGCGTGCATGCCGGCGTGACTGAAGTTCCATAACAGCCTTCAGCCCAGTGCCAACAAGTGGTGGGAGCACGACCCCAATAGCACTCAACCTACACCAATCATCTCATCCCCAAACACTACTACACAACGTATCACCTAAGTCGAGTCAATCTCTGTCTGAAGGCAATCGAAGCATGCAATCAACTAGTACTTGTTCTATATTAAATGGAACCGTCTTTGATATCATCTTTGAAAAAGCTAGCTCCTTCCGCCAGCGGATCTACTCATCACTGCTATTGCACTACAGACACAGAGGTCCTTACAGCTGTGCAGACATGTCCGTAACGACACAACCGCCTCCATGTACTCGTAGCATATCGGACATCGTAGAAGATTGTCAATGGCCTGAAAGAAGAAGATATAGAAAACAGCAAGCAGAGCCCGTAGCATCTAGTGAGACGACACGAGACCAAAACATTAATACCCAAAACATGTGCATTTCGACCCCGGATTAGGACGTTCTGTGGTCTACTCAATCTCCTTAATCTGCGCTCTTTACAACTGGCAATAGTAGACTTGAAACGTTGACCCCCAACACGGTTCACACCAGCGGTGCCATATGCGAGAATGCATAAATCGACCCTGCCCCAAGGGCAATTAGAACAGGCAGCCCGTGAGCAAACCCCACGTCATTTTATACTCCAGTCATCCGTGTCGTCTCTCCTCTTTCCATCGCAATGAGTTCCCAATTAGCTGTGAATCGCAGCACGGTTGGAAAATCCTTCCGCTTCCAAGCACGACTTGAACCTGGTACCCTCTTTTCCCACAGTCATGGTCATAGACCAACCCACTATAGCCTATACCTGCCATGAAACTTTACAAAAGTTGTATCATTATTAAATCCAAACTCTGTTCAAATTTTAATCGCAGCAGCGCAAACTGGCCTCAATTTCTTGTCACAAACAAGACCCATTTTACAGTACATCTACTGTATTTCCTCAAAGAGAGAACCCGGTCTTCCATGCTTTTAGTTTCTTTTTAAAGTTGAGCAGGAAGTAATAAAGGTAGTTTTGCTAATCCCAAATTTGACCTGATCAGCAGCGATTGTCTTATTATGATCCAGCACAATCTGCTCAATGTTGCGTGATTTGGAATGCACAGCTTCCAACCTTCTCGCCTTGAGTTTATTAATACGGAGAAAGAAACAATACATTGTACATGCCAGCCCAAGCAATGCAAAATAGAACCAAGAGTATTATAACCCCCCCCCCCCCCCCCTGGGGTTATGTACTCTTGATAGAACATTTCACTTTCTCAGCAACATCACGAACCTTCAGGTCTTGAAAATCTTTCGGCCAATCGTCTGCGCTGTCCATGACTCTATCCAGCAATTACCAATCCAATATTGTGAGATCAAACGTGGACTGGTTGAAGGCTGAGAATGCTACCTGAGTCAGAAATCCCCATGAAAAGTGAAGATATCGTCGACAGAGCTAGAGCTAGAGAAAAATTGATCAAAGGCGAAAGCTTTCTTTTTTCCATTCAAATGTCCACTTTCGTGAACCATTCTGGCGCGAAACCGCCGGACACGTGGTGACTTGTTCGGTGCGCTAGCTACACAGTGTACAGCTGCTATGTCATGATCCATGGTCATCTAGATATCTCGCATGCATGATCCCGGTCGTTATCCGATATCATCAAGAGTTCCGCCTGATGATAAGGCCCTTTTAGCCTTTACTTGGCCTTGATATCATCAAGAGCCCATAATTATAATGGGATTATGGACTCTTGGTATCGTGGATATCCCCCCCCCCCCCCAGGCCAGACGCACCAACCCCTGACTGAAGACAAGGACGTCGACGGTGCACTAGATGAAGCAGGACCGCCGGAAGCAGTATTCCGGTGCTGTGGTACCCAAACCTTTCATGTGTTTGATATAGTGGGAACATAATAAAGGTTATAACCTAAGCTGGATTGTGCACATTTCCATCCAGCACTGACACGTATTGTGTACAGCAGTGCATGCGTCCGGGTTCCACATCGTATTTCGTTGTATGTGCCGAAGTCGCTTCACAGGCAGAAAATCGAAAGGGGCGGAAATTAGATTGGGGCGGATCAATCAGGTACTTTACGGTACAAGTCATGGTCAAGGGCCAAGGCCAAGGGTGAAAATCATGGTGAATTGGGTTGATCTGATCAAGAGTACGTACATGTAAGTAATGAAAAACCAGAGACGCGGCCGAGCCCCAAGCGCGACTGGAACAGACAGTCCGGAAGCAAAAAAAAGCACATTGTTCTGCATTCCAGTCACCCGTATCGTCTCTAGATGCTAAGACTCCCCGGACGCAGTGTATGATGCAAGCCTTGCTCATACTACTCATGAGTCAAGTTTACCACGGGTTGTCTATAACATTATCATACATAATATGATTGTGTAGGGCCGCTGGGTTTCACGAATTGCCATTGCAGCCAGTGTATTCAGTCATTGCGATGCCTGTCACGTGACCAGGTGATGGTGTAGCATCTGTGACGGGGGATGTGGCTGTAGCCTGGTTACCAGGACTTTATACCAGCAAGTATCCGGCTCATGAACAGAATACTAGCGTGGGGACAAGTTACCGTGGCTTCTTTTCAAAGTGCAATAAACTCGACTATTAACTTTCCTTAGGACACAGAAATACATTACTACTCTTGGTTCACAAGTCACTATCCTCTAGGACTATCCTCTATGACTATCCTCTATGACTATCCATGATGACTAGCAATAGCTATGATAGGACTATTTTACAAAGATAAGCACATGCAATTGCAAGGCAGAGGATTAGTACAGGCCGGACAGGCCGCATATTGTTACTACGAACATACTCACTAACACGAGTCGAGGCGTCAGGAGCCGATGCTAAGTCTGGACTCACTGGGGCAGCGGGTGGCGACTTCCCTGATGCTGGCGCATGCGTATGCGGCATTCGCCGTATGGCCCAGCTTGCCGCAGTGCTAACAAGTGGTCTCACGAGTGGAGGATGTCGTAGAAGCCGGTGGAGCAGGTGCTGGTCCGTCCACTCGGGCCTCCAAGCGATCCATGCGGTCCAGAAGTTTGGCCAGCAGCTGTGGTGTTGGGTCATTTGGTTTACGTGTACTCGCTGTGGCGAAGGCAGAGACAAGGGCCGGTGTAGCAGGCGAGGAAGCCTCCGATTGGTGAATTGCATCATGATGCAGCGTGGCCTGCAGAGCATCATTAAGTGTGGCTGCATTTTAAAGCTCCTTTATGCAGACCCGAATGGTTCTCGAATCGAGGCCCGCCAGAAACTGGTCCTTCGCCATTATCCTGATCGACGGCCTGCATATTGGGGTAGGTGAGCCGTGCTGCTTCCCTCACCGCCTCGCAGTACTCGACTAGACTTTTCTTCTGCCGTTAGCGACGGGCTTGCAACTCTGCCCGGTGAAGGTTAACCTCGCTGCGGTGGCGCGAATCGGGCTTGCAGCGATTGGGCCAGTGGCGCAAGCTGGCCTTGTCGGTTCGCCTGAGGCAGCGAATAGTAATGAAGTAAAGCTTCTCCTTTCAGGGCCAGCGGCAGGAACTGCACCGTTTCCTGCGGTGTCCATGCGTTGACGAGCGCGAGCTGCTCGAACTGGAGCCACCAGGACTCCCATCGGTCTTGAACTCCACCGCTGAACTTCTCGGGTTTGCCCACTGACGGGTAACAGGAGAACATTGTGCTGGTGCAGCCTGCGCCTGTTGCTGCTGGGCTTGTTGTTGTTGCTGTTGAGCCATATTATTATTGATATTAGAACGGATACAAAGAGGGAACACACGGGAGTAGAATACCAAAATAACTAGAGGGGGGGGGGGGGTGACAAATAGGAGCTGAAGGTCACGGGGAATACGAATCCTTCTGACACCAAAGGAACAGGCATATCCATCACAAGATGTGTGTACCCTTCACCTCTACCGAACAAATAAACTGATCTCCAGGCCATTTCCCTCATACAAGTACATTCTGCCTCGCCCAGTTGAAGGTTTTCAAAATCATAACACCATTGTGACACCAGATAGAAATCATCGCATTTAATTCACAGGGCATCATGACGGTGAAGACAAATAAACTAGATTTGGCACAAAGAAGTGGATTGAAAGCAAACAGCCATGCAAAATCTGCACGTCGCATAACGTCAATAGCAACACCATTCTAATTACTATGACAATGCATGCACTGCAAAAGTCATTACTGCACAGAGTCCAGCTACAGCAAAGTAAACCGTTGCCCCACAGAATGAGATACTCTTGCACCTCAAACTGTACATGCCTTTGTCATTGTAAGACTAAGAGTCAGCTATGGCAAGGGGAGTTTTCAGTGATGCACACATACTCACACCACCGAGGCTAACACAGTAGCTGCTCCCCCGCCGTTCCCTTGGTTGGAACTGTTAGGTGTCTGCGGTCATAGAATCATTCCGCCCGGGCTATACTGTGCAGACATGATCACTACACCCGTCATTGTGACTTGACAGCATACAATCACCAGGCATTCACTCGCAGCTGACTAGTCGGATTCCCATCAGCTGACATATTATTGCATCCGTGGATAGGCATCTGATCAAAACTAGAAAGTCTGCCATGCCACTGATGGACTCATATGAGTAAATTGAACAGCAAGGATGGCATACTTCAGGAAGCTGAGTCTACATAGTTGCGGCTACTCCAAGTAATTCCACCATAGCCTGAGCGAGAGTCATCGTTCGAATCATCCACTAGGCATCGTTCGATGAAAGAAAGCACGACGCTATCCCTCAATGATGGCCAAAAATGTTGACACGTTGATACTGCCAGGATTAGGAAGTCACTAACTTCAAGATGGACATCATAGTACCGGCATACTGGGATCGGAACGATCGCACTTGTACATCTATCTTGTGAAGGACTCATTTGGATCCCTTTGATGACTACAAGCCACTTGCACAGGACCCGGTGTCTGGCACATCCGCCGTCGGCATGATATTGATGTAGCGCCAATGTCTATCCAGCCAGTGGGTTTCGTGAGGTCACCATACCAAGCTGCTATGGCCTGTCATGGCCGCATGGCAGCACAAGATCAAACACTACCGTCACCTTGCAGCATGGCCACAACTCGGGCCGGAATTCTCTGCCGGTTCTCCTCAGTCACCTCCAGTACAGCACAGGCTGGGTGAGATTCAATCAGCTTCAGCAACGCTTGGAGTTCTCGTGAGAAGTGTCCACCTGCCGATGGCACTGTGCCGACAACATTCACGTTCGGCTCGACAAAATTGCTCTCCAGAATCTGTCGCGTGTTCGTTAGAAATTCTTTACTGAACGCCTCCATCTTTCCAATCTCGTCCACAATCAGCACTTGCCCATGAGCATGACTAGATGACTTGTCCACGTACTGTCGCAGAATTGGGAGCACTGAGCGCTCAAACTTCTCCAGATTGACACCATAGCGACCGACAACGTAGCGAGGTCGTCGTCGACTTGGGTCGGGAGCATCAGGCATCACGTCCGCCAATGACTGACGCTCTCCATTGAGAGTTACTACATCGAATCCCACACGTCTGCTACGCTCCCGGCGTTCTTGTGTGTAGAAGCCATCAATTCCACCGCCTCCATCGCCCTGAGGCTTCTTTTCGTTCTGCAATAGCTCGACTATTCGCCGAATCGCTGTAGTTTTGCCAACACCAGGCCGTCCAGTCAGGAAAACATGGCTTTTCCTCGTCAGTGACGGACCAAGTGCAGAGTGGCTGGCCATTTGGGGCCAACACCTGCAAAGCTGCTGTAGTCGCTGCACACTTACTCTAGCAATGAAATAAATGATGGGTACATACAATCAAGAAGAAGATTGCTTGTTTGAAGAATTATTTGAAGAAGTATTTTTTCAAAACTGACTTTGAAATCAACAAAAATTAATACAGTGATGTGTACAAATCATCTGAAATTACATGACTGTAGTACAATGCATGTACAGTAACTGTTATTCCAACAAAGATTGAATGAATGCATCATCATGATTGAATGGCGAAATCCTCAAGATAATGCCTGATCTGCGAACATGGTGACTGTGTGATCAAAGAAGGCCAGGTCAGAGGTGGAACTGGAAACAGCCCGGGCCGAGAGTTTTTAATAAGGACTGCCATTTGCCAACACCCCAATGCCTGTATTGGCAAAGACATTTTGCTCTTGCTTTTTTAGTCTTGGTACTACATGTACATTGTATAAGTATTGTTTAGAGTTTGCACTGTACTGGTGTTACGTCCCCAACTCCGGAACCTTGGTATAACACTTTTTTTAAATTATAAAACTAACAAAGAAGGGGACTACTGCAGTCGATGAGAACTCGGCTATCGATTCACAATCAAACTCAAACCGGTTGCAGCTTGTCGTACCTTGTTATTGCAATCAGAGGCATACGCCAATAGCAAGTCACGTGACGGCGCACGGGATGAAATCACCCAGGGATATGCTGAGCGAAGTTGATCCTAGAGCCAAAATTGACTGCTCTTGGTATATAAGAGAGATAGCATAGTACATTGACACTGAACTACTCCGTTCTTATACAACAGGATCTAGGAGGGCGATCTAAAAACTAGAGGGACACGGAGAGAGAAAATAAACAATACAACAATTAAAATAAATGCTTTAAACGGGGTGCTACCTGCGTAGGATGATGGTTGTAATAATTTTAACTCATCGTAGTCTATAGATACTAGTAGTGCACAGCACAGAGTAATATGGATGAGAGATAAGAAAGAAAATAAGTCCAGAGAGAAGAGTGAACAATGTGGAGGGTGCAGAGGGCATGTTGTGGGCTTCTCTAATCTTTACTGCATGGAGGTGACGCTCGGTGCGCCCGTTGAAGTAGCAGCAAGCAAGAACTGTTGCTGGAGGCTGCTGCTGACAGATTCTGCGTCATCGTCTGGTGACATGTTGGTGAGGACACGGCGTGTCTCCTTCACCCTGAGAAGAAACAACCAGACAATATATAACAGACTTCTAAGCAAGTACATCACATACATTAGTGTTAATCACACATTGCTTTTCTTTCGGGTTACATTTTGTTCCTTTTCTGGTTTTCTGGGTTTGCATTTGTATTGCATTTTCACCCACTGTGTTTCTTTTGCCCATAAAAGAGGCTTCATTTTTTTTTTCGACTTCTAAGCGACATCTGAAGTGCCGTGGTGAGACCTCGAGTCTCACCACGGCGGCATTGCACCTCGTAGAGACTTCGGATAACTTCGATGTGATAGCCAAGGTTCCCCACGAAACGTAGATGCTTTGTTTATGAAAATCGGCGAAGGAACACCAGAGATATCCTTTTTTTAGTGCCACTGTATACTCAACAAGCGAAATCGCTCGTTGAGCGCACAAAGGGTTAAAGCCATCGCATGCAGGCACTGCCCGGCCATTTACAATGCATTCTATGTTTGACCTGTGTTGAGCAGACTAGAGCCCTTCCACATTGTTGCATACAAAATTTACTACAACTACACCATGAATGAAGTGTGTGCTCCTTATAATATGGACACGGGAAATCTGAAGGGCTCCACAGAAAGGCTCGTTTTTAATATACTGGTGCATGTGTTTTCGACTGCCCTTATAGGTGGGATTCGCTTCGCGTGCCGAGTCCACTCGTTCCATCGCCGAGTGCTAGTTATCTCCAATAGCAAGCATAAGTTACATGTAAGTTGTGAGAACTCCAAAGCATGAACAGTACAACATGTGGACACCACATCCTACTATATATTCCTCATTATAAACTTAGGGCATTCTCAAGCGGTACCAATTCCTAACCTATATCACTCTTCGAGGAGATCCGCAAACCAGTGCACGGTCAACATAGGATAATGATCCAGGTACCGAGGCTGTTGTTGGGTCTTGTACCCTGTCTGAGTTCAACACGGGTTGAAAATAAGGGGTGTGTTTATGGATGAGGGTTGAGCTCAAATAGAGTACTACCTTCCACTTATGGACGGTTGAGCGGTCATGCATCCTATTTGGTGGGAACATCGATTAGGCAGTGTTGTGCGCGTGCATAGAGGTTCCGTATGCATTGTGTATGGTACGGCAATGTCAACCTGGGATTTCAACTCTCCATCTAGCTGCCAGGTTGAACGCAACTCGAAATGCCAACGCTCCAGTTAATCTATGCACAGTACATGGCGGGTTGAACATCTCATGCAACCATAGCCGAAGAAGGACAGACAACGTAAGACTGCCCGGTGGGGTAGAGAGTCTACTTACCGATTTTTGAGGCCGGAAACAAAGGCCTGCGTGGACGGATCACTGAACTGCAGAAAGAGCAAGTCAAAACAGCATGCAGTTGCAAAGGGAATGAGTACATGCCTAAGACAAATACACACCACAATTAAATATGCAAAGAGATGATGACAGCTGCTATGGACTAAGTGAGAAATCAACATTTGGACAGTACCAGAAAATTAAGTTTCCAGTACGCAGTAGCAATACAACGCATGCACGCACGCAGGCGTGCGCGCGGACACACACATGCACACAAACAGCCGTACCACGTAGGATATGTCGACGGTGGACACTGTTGTCGATTGGTTCAGCTGTGCTTGCTGTGAGCGATGCTGCGGGAATGGTGACTGCTGAACCGTAATGGACCTGGCAATTGTCGACTGGCTAATTGAGATGTCCTGCCATCAAGCACAAACAACAGAAAATTTTGTATCATGGAATTTTCCTGAATCCAATCACAAATCTAGTCATACAGACCATGTGCATAAGGTCATTGTGATGTCATCCGTACACATTTCCTGAATGAAAAGGATACTGTCAGACTTTGGTACTTTTCAGATCTAACAACAGTGCAACACCTATTTCGTACTGCAGGATTATAAGCACTTCATCATTGCGCATCCGGTCTATAAGTAATCGAATACACAGACTAAAATTTAGAAGCAAGTTGCTGCTTATGAAGAGCATGTGTAACTGGTCACCTTCCCAAGTCACAGACAATACCCTACCGGTGAGTACAGTGTGCTGGCATACCTGCGGTCTTTGCGGCATGACCGAACTAGCCGAGCTCAGCGGTTGGCGACCAGGCAACCTAGCAGCTTCGGTTGCCGTCGCCGATGTGTGCCACTCTATTGACCTATCTGCCATGCCTGCTGTTGCTGCTGCTGTCGTTACAGGTGCAATGGCAGCAGCTACGTTAGGCTGCAGTAAGTCGAGAAACGCAACAAAAAGGAGACAAATACGGTCACAATTTACATAGGAGAGGCAATACGTGAATGCGTTAACAAGCCCTAGACACCTGCGAGCAGGGTAGCACGAGAGAAAGAAAGATAAATAGAGATAGAGGGAGAGAGAGAGAGAGAGAGAGAGAGAGAGAGAGAGAGAGAGAGAGAGAGAGAGAGAGAAGCAGCCATCAGAATAATTTATCTGCCAAAGAACTACGTAGCTGTACTAGACGCCTGAGTTACACAGTTCAGCAACTTAACATCGCAGAATAGAAGGTTAGAAGACAAAACACAACACTCTCTACACAAACACGTGAGCAGCAACTCCCACCATTGAATCAGCTCTGATTAAGAGCCGAGCACGAACTAGGAGACCCCCTTTAATAGGCATCAATTTGCCGTTGGAGAATTCTTGAAATGAATCGTCAATGTCAAGCAAAACACATACCGTTGTTGTTGGCGTCTGCTCCAGGCGGTGCATTCGCGTTTCCATCAGCACCAGGCGAGCCTCAATGGTCTCGAGTGCATGGCCGACGTTTCCCGCTCCTGCCGCTGGCACTACCACCGCCGTGCTGCTGCTGGTGCTGCTTTGGGCGAGTGCAGTACCGGGGAGGACGCTCTCCGACGCGGCAATCTGCATAGGACGTGCAGCCACTGCCGGTGGTCGACTGTGATCTGCCAGGAGCAGCTGACTGAGCTGCGTGCTGACAAAGCCGATCTGAGCGCTCATTGCATTCATCTGTAACATCACCTGATTCAGCTCTGGCGGTGCCTGCAATGCAAACAGCATCAGTAGAGACCAGCCAGGTTTGCACTTACATATACTTCAGTAGCTGCATTGCTCATGCGTACCTACTACCTACTACCTACTGAGGGACACGTTCCACTTCTTGTATCCTAGTGAGTCTTTCTCGAAGTACACGTACACAGCAAGTACAACAATTCACCAAAGTGAATCTATACAACTTTAGTAGAGAAGTTGTGATAAACACATACACAATTGGCGATGTAGCAGTAAATACACGCCTGGCCACACAACACTCTCTAACTAAGCTGCAAATCTATACCGTCTTTCAACTTACTTGCTGATTGCTAGCAGGGTGGCTTGCTGAACCAGAGTCAGCAAGTGAGAGTGCAGATCCAGCTGACTGCAGAGTGGAGGCGGAAGATGTCTGGATGGACGACGCACTTGCCAGAATGCCCTCCCGTGACCGGACTGCTGTGGCTGTTGGTTGGTATGCAGCAGATGCAGGATGCTGTACTGCATTGCTGAGAACACTCTGTTGGGTATGGCGATACTCTGCCTGCATTGGCATTGACTGGGCAGCTTGCTGTTGTGGCTCATGCATAGTATTTGGAGGATAGTGAGTTCCTGCTGCCGATGAGCTGCTGGGATATGCATGAGCCTGGGGTGCGTGGGCATGATGTTCCTGTAGCAACGCCCGATTGCTACTCATCCCGGATGCAGGTTTGCTGTACAACTCTCCAGGATCTTCTCTGTTGGGGTGAGCAGTGACTCCTGATTTGCTGACAGCGCCAAGCTGTGTGTGGTGCAGTGGTGGAAGTGGAGCGGCATGAGAGATGGTCGGTCGATCATCTGATCTGGCAGGTTCCGAGGCACGATGCAGTGAAGAGATGCGCGATGATTGGTGCTGCCGCGGCGGGGAAAATCGCGATCGCACCACACTGACCGATGGTAACGGGGCGGATGTTTCAGGTACTGGGGCATCGTCACAGTCACTCAACGGTGTTGACTTAGCCTTGCTCTGTCGGAGATGAGAAGTCACCGGGAAGGTGGCTGGAGTTCTCGTTGGGAAGGCAGAGGCATCATCATTGTGAAGGTAGCGACTAGAATTAGGCAGTGGATGGCTGAGCGGAGCATAGCTTGATGGCATGGCCGGTGGTGGGTGACGGTGCTGAGGGTCTTCATGGGAGAAGCGGTGGCTGGTTCGCAAGTGTTCAGCAGGCAATCCAGACATTGAACTTGGTTCCTAACAGCACACAGGCACACATATCCACAAGGGCATGTCAAAGAAACCAAATTGAGCAACGATATTATGACAGCAGTATGCTTTGCTTTCCGAACCCACTTCAATCAGGACAATATTCCCAATAGACAAAATAAAGATGAGTTTGGACACTTCTTGCAGCTTCACCTTTTGAGTAAAGAGTAGAAAGCAGCGCAATTTGAGATGTGGCTGTTAGCCCACAACATAATTGGAGACAAATAAAGCCAAGGCAAATGTCCCGAGGCAGCTATCCCACGTACTTACAGCTTCTGACATGACAGGTTTGAACGTGGGCAGCGCTTCTTCTACCTCCCGGTCACCATAGTCGGCTTCATCAGTCGACAAGCAGTTACCAGGATAAGAAGAGAGAATGGCGTGAGCGGAGGCCAGAACACCGGAATTGTGCGAGCTGTGTGCAGCACTGTCTTGGAACGGAGCGGCAACCTGCGGCAGAATCGATTGCCTGGCAAATGCTAGTTCTGGGGTAGCACCCTCCACTAGATCTTCCTCGCATGTTTCACCAGTTAGTTGCTTGTCATGTGGAATGGGGTTCTGAAATGTAGACCAGGATAAAGAAATTGCATCCGAGCTAACAAATCAGCAGCAGCAGTAAAGACATTCTCAAACTACAAGTACACAATGGCTGCAACAGTCATAGAATAAGTACACCATTGAGCATGCACCATACAACTACAAGCAAAAACGCCAATCAAGCAGGCATTCACTGCATTTCAATCCACTTGATTCATAGCTGACCGGGGGAGAGGAGGGAGGGGGGGGGGGGGGGGGGAGTAGAAGATCAAAAGAAATACAAGACGATTTGACGAAGCAAGTGTGAAGTTAAATTCTAGAATATTGCCCTGGTCAGTGATCTTCTTTTTCTTTGCTAGTACAGTAGTGTTGGGCGGCGAAGAACGATCAGGCTAGAATTATTTCACCAAGCACAGCATACCAATGTATACACGGTGACTCAACCGTGCATAGACCACAGTACATGAAAATAAGAATGGCTTAGGCTACGAGGCTGACCCCCACCCCAGTTCTTCAGAACCTGACAGGACTGCAGACTAGAATGGGATCATGTACATCAGCATGCCAGTGAACACAGTGAACTTACCGATTGGCTATTGATGACAGACTGCAGTGGTAAACGGTTCTTCTCAGCACCTTTACTGGTTGCTGAGGACTTGGCGGTCTTTCTAGCGCCATTCTCTGAAGCCAGCTGTCTAGAGCGTCCCAGTGCTGCGACAGTCCTGCAAACCACAACAGCAAACCAATATCAGGTCATGGCATTGTACTTGTACAGATGGACCGGCCAGGAATGCACATGCAGCACTTTACCCTTCAGTATAGGGAGGTGCATTGAAGCCACCTTACACACAGAAATGAATGTATTTCTCACAGAATTCTTTCAGTGCTGATACTGCTTTGGCTCTTGTAGGCTATACAACGTACAAAAAACTTCAAAATAACCGAAACACCAAGGGACGTACAAATTTGTACAGCCGAGGAGCTCTACATGTATATCTGAAGTCAATTGACTGGAAGGGAATATGCAGGTCCTGAAAAATCACCATACATTATACATCTGATGCAAATAGAAAAGTATGACATCTTGATAGCACTGACTCTGTGAAAAATGTACAACACAGTTGTGACACAACCTTACTTTGGCTTTCTTGCCACCAGAACACTGCCTCCTTTCCTGTCACACCGCGGTAAGAACAAAGTGAACACCACACAGTCACACACACACCACACACACCCACACACACGCGCACACACACACACACACACACACACACACACACATACATACACACACACACACACACACACACACACACACACACACACACACACACAAACATGTACACACACACCACCCACAGCCATGAATGAGGAAAAAGCGAACAATAGTAATCAGTATAGAGTACTAAAGAGTAAAGACTTGCAACTGTCTCAATCTGACAACAGGAGCAAGAAAGCAGATATAGAATAGGAAGGCAGCAAGGAGAAGCAAGAGCAAGACACCAAATCACTGCCATCTAACTGCATCAGAAGCTCAAAAGAAAACAGGTAACACACCATAATTTGTTTGATCACAAGCAATGAAGTGCACGTACCAAGTCACGACTAACAACACTGCACTCCTGGAGAAGCGCAAGTATGACATGTTCTACTATTTGGCTTAATGTAACCCCAGCCTATTGCAAAACACCAACAACAACAAAAAAACGGTCTAAAATCTCGTTTGCACTGGAAAAATGTTACCACAACTACGAATTTAATCGCCTTACTTTGTGAGCAGAGCATGCCGTTCCCTGCATAGCTTTAGTACCCGGCACACCAACAGAGACTTGTGCTCGGCAAAGCCAGCGGCAGTGAGCAACTGCGCCTTGGTGAGGCGTGGCGTGTGATCAAACTCATCACGTAGAAGCTAAACAACCCAACAAGATATACACCAAGAAAATGGAGTGTGAAGCCAGCATGCGGAAGATGGAAGACTTGCAGATGGAAGGTGGTGCAACGGCACCATAATAATACAATATAAGAGGTTGTTTCTAGGTTAGATTCTGCACAAAGGTGTGTTGGAACACCATATTCTGCAGTTGACGGCGTATCACCAGGCGAGTGCTGGGCGTAACTATTAGGGTATAATAAGGACCACATGCACCTTGAAGTGCAGTCCATACTGTAGTGGATGCACATCCCACTGTTTGTCATTGTATCCTTTTATGTAACATGTATGCATTCATCCGGCCGTGCTGTGCGACATGCCAGTTGTACCGTACGCACTTTAGCTGGAGCTAGAGCTCCTCAGCCTGTCAACCGCCTCATTGAATCATGCTAATTCAGCAAAGTGCCGAGACGCATCTGCCGTCGTCTCTGCACATCACTCTTTCACTGCCACTTGCTCTACAAACAATACCTACATTATCGAATAGTCTTTGGACTCCTCATCTTCTCTATTATAGCCTGTTTAATCTCAGAGGGGAGATGTAGTGGATGCACATCCCACTGTTTGTCATTGTATCCTTTTATGTAACATGTATGCATTCATCCGGCCGTGCTGTGCGACATGCCAGTTGTACCGTACGCACTTTAGCTGTACCTGCCTGCCTGGCTTTTCCTTTGATCTCTCTGTCGTTCTCTGTATTCCCACACACTTGTGATTTGTAGTAACGAAGCTAGTTACAAGATGTCTTTGGTGCGTTTGTAGAACCACTACACATACAACATCGCAAACACACTTGAGCATGTGCCAGATACTAGTGAGAACACAACACTGTACATGAATGATGACTATAAACAGAAAGTGTGACAAGTCCCATGTGTCTGTGATCAAATACGGATTGCTACCAGCTGCGGCCTGGCCTCGCTCTCTCTGTGCTGCGCTGATGAGCCCACAAAGGACGGAACAGTTCTGTCTGCAGATTGAGTACTGTATACATGTAGGCAGCGCAATTTGCTCATACGTGCAATGCATTATGTATGTATGTATGGTTGTAATTGTATGTATGATTGTATGTATAATTGTATGATTGTATGTAAAATTGTATACATGTATTTATATTTGAATTCGCAAGTACACACGGGCTACAAGCCCAATTACAGTAGATATTGGTTATAACGTGCCCTTCTGATTTTTCACATTTTATCACTATAACCGGTATATCACTACAGGCGATTTTCAACTGCGCGCTTCATACATACACATTATACACGTGTGGGTACTCGATCGCGCTAATGTAGCGTACTGATACGTGATGGATGCTACTGCACCTTCTCCAGTCTAGAGTGAAGAACTTCTTGGCCCAAAGGCATCATCCAGGAAGCACCAGACCAGAATACCCTATCACAACACACATGTGGCTCCAAGTCGAGATATCAGTGCCTCACACTCCGTGTGTTGCTATCACTATAGACGATAATTTTTCTGCACAAAGAGGTGTTTTGAATGGTGATTTTGTATCCTTATAGCCGATTTATCGCTATATACGATATATTGGTTATAATGATAGTTTGACTGGCTTTTTCTGGTTTTGCTTTTGATATTTTCATTTTGTATCAATATAGCCGGTTTATCACTATGTCCGATGACTTTATAACCGATATCACTGTAGTACTTTTTTACGAGTCTGGATGGATGGTGGATGGCTGTCATTTTCTCCTGCTTATCCCCTCCCCTTCCCCCTCTCTCATTCCTTCATTGCTGCCTTATTTCTGTATCTCCATCATGACAAAAAAACACCCACACATAATCATTGACTAATAATGACGATATGTACAGCATCTCAAGTCTTGCAAAAAATACCAGCCCCTCTGGACGAACACAGATCACAAAGAGACTATGCTAGATGAGTCACGTATCTTTATACAAGCAGAGGAAAGTGACAGAATGGCCCCATGCCATGACCCTAAATACTGTAGTCTCCCGTACCTTGTACAGCGTGTCAACAAAACGTGAATCACTTTTGCCATACAGATCATAGCCGCGATCAGAGAGATGGACAGCGAGCGGATAGGAAAAAGATAGCAGGCTATAGTGTAGCAGAGGGAGCAACGCCGAGGGGCTTCCGGAGATAAGCCTGTGTACCAAAACGAAATCAATGCAAAAGCAGTGGACTTTGTTCGTGAAGAAGCAGGGGAAATTTGAAATGGATTTTTTTGAAGTGCCAGCTCATGCCTTACCCTCGTACGTCAGTATCACCTGTATATTTACAGGCTTTTAGCTCAGTTTGGAGTCTTCTGATACTGTTCTGCAAATCACCAGTTGCCATTGTCGGCCTCAGCAATATAAGCCATGGACGCCACAAACAAACTCTCGATCAACAAACTCTTTTCTTGCTTGGAGCAGCTTCGTCTTGCAAATAAAACCTGATGCACGTTCTGCACACGCGCCACTTTTTTGAATCTCTTCAGCTTCAACATCCGTCTCAGTTCGGGGCTTCCCCTTCGCGTTCGGTGACAAGCCCAGCGCGCTAGTGCGGCTAGACCTGCTTGTGTGAGTAGCAGATCTACCGCACGCGCACTGGACTCGCAGAACGCGGTACGCGGTCCAGCCAACCAAAAAAACAGACAGTCGAGTACTCGTAGACTACTGTACGAGACTACAAGTCATGACGACTATTAGTACTAGTAGTAGTAGATTTTATTATTTTTAATACTAGGGCTAGTACTAGGGGAGTCCCAACAGGCGTTGCCTTTTTACCATGTTTACATACAGAGTAAGAGACGGGGCCTAACGGCAGTCAGTGGGAAGAGCATTCCATCTGTCTGCCGCCAGGAAAGAAATAGAACGCATGCCATATTGCGTAGAAACAGGCGGAAGAACTAATGCGCGCTGTGCCTGGCCGCGCGTGCGAGCCTGGTGTCCAGGCACAGCAGCCCTAAGCGGGAACAAGGATTGGAGAAGGGGACTAGCAAGATGTGGGGTCAAGCAGCGGTACACGAAAACATAGAGTTTAAGATTTGTGCGCTGTTCAAAAGAATAGAGATGATATTTGCGGAGAACAATTTCAGTAGACATGTCTCTTTTCGGTCCAAGGCCCTAGGCTATACTACTTTTTGTAGTTCCATGCCAGCTGATACACGACTCGACTCTGTTTGGGACAGTGTAAAGCCAACCGTTGTGGTTGTATACGTACCTGAGCTGGCGGTAGTCAGCAGGCAAGAGTACATAAGCCAAGGTTTATGTACTCTAAGTCCGTCTTGGCAGCAGTCTCTGTACAAATTTTTAGACTTCAGACCAGCTTCAATTTGTGCAACAATGAGAACAGCAAAGCAAAGACAATTGCAGTCTCTGAACATGATTATACAGAGGGGGGGGGGGTATGTTGACCATGCCGCGGACTTCACCTGTAAACACAGCTTCATTTTCCAGTATACTAGTAGTATTCAGAAAACAATGGCATCTCCAGCTGCATTTCAATGCTCACGCAGCTATTTTGTTCACGTGACCGGCAGAAAACAAACCCACCCAGTCCTAGAAAATGTGATAGTACACATGCAGGTCAGACCACACACACACTGTACGCGGCAGAGGCGAAGGACGAATACAGTTGAATCGCAATGTAACTGTGTGCATGCGACTCGACTGCCCTCATCGCAATCCTGTGTGTATCAAAAGGGAACTTCCTCTTTGACGAGGAAGACTGAATTAATTTTCAATGGACATAATTCTGATGACTGAGTAAACTCTTCGCAACGGGAGCACTAGGAAACCTCCGCACACACAAGTATATTACGCATTGAAGTCAGGCCACATTGGCTGAAAGTTCAAGCAGACATACAATATACATATAGTTGTCTGCAGCATTGAGTACATGTACATTGTTTGTTATGTACTTAAAAGTACATAACATTCATGGGCACATCAGTGACCCGGCGATCAAGTACTACCACTTCGCTACAATAATAATGCATGCACGACTGCAACAGATTGATATCCCACCAAGGCCTGGCAAAGACACGAGATAGGGGTGAAAGCCAAACCCAAACAGATTCAAATAGCTGCTTTGCTTATTTGCACCTGGACAACGTTCCCCAAGCAATTATGTTCATGTCAGTCAAGTTGAGAGTCTCCAAGATCACACAAATGATATTCCATCATTATCGATTGTCAATACATGTATGAAGTGGATGGCAAACGAGAAAGCCTCAAGGGTTCAAATCAAGGGTACATAAAGTATTCTGCATGCACTTCGAGTACACCATCCGCAGCACCGTCAGAGCCGACTAGCCTTGGGCATGTGCACACCACGACATGAAATGGAGAGCAGTGCGCAGGTGAAACAAGCACAGCGGGCGTTTTGTTTGACGTGTCACACCACCAAGACTGCAACCATTACAGTCATCATGGCTGCACCTGACTCGTGCTGTCTGCTTGCGAGTTCCCGGCTTGCCATGCTGCAAACGCCGGGGTCAGCTTCGCTCTGAAGAAATACTCGAGTCGACCACTCAGCTTTGCCATCTCCTTTTCATAGGAATCTTGGGCGAGTTCATGCTGTGACCCATGGGTGCCACCTGCATTAACAGTTTTTAAAACATCGCAGGAGAGCAACACCAATATCATATACATTTATAATACGAGACAAAGCAAAAACTTTGGAGAGAGGAAAAAACACTTGACTTGCAGAGTACGAACCTGGCGGCTTGCCAGGGGTTAAATAAGTACTATGTACTAGTAGTATGTCAAGTTACTCAGAAAAGTGTTTGTAGTTTAGTTGTGTTGGACAATCTATTCAAGTTCCCTAAGCTCCAACGAACCCCTTGATCTTGTAGAGTGCATGCCACAAAAGGCAGCACATCCCCTTCAACTCCACACCGTTATAATAATTGCATACGCCTATATGGTATTATGGTATTTCCGTACCTTTGTCACTGGTGGCAGACTGTGAGCGTTCACTTGATTTGCCAGAGCCGGGCCGCGAGCTGGGTCGCGAGCCTGGCTGTGAGCCGGGCCGTGAATCGGGCTGCGACTCTGGGCGAGACGTCGCTCGCAACGAGCCAGTCGAGCTAGACTCCAGATTGGTCTCCGTTACCACCTCCTGCACATTGGATCAACCCATCAGCAAACACATACATTATACACATGGATGCGGACATACATATACCCACACACACAAAAAAAGCATACACAGACGCAGATGCACAGACAGACAGACAGACAGACAGATAGCACGACTAAAAATAGCCGAACCACATGACAGAAGCAGGCCTCAGGAAGGATGCTGATTCGGATACAGAGAGACAGAGAAAGGGACAGACTATTGTCTGAAAAGAACAGACCGACGGGCAGACATATAGATAGCCAAACACACACACACAGTCTAACCAAGTCTCTACTTGAACCGTGAATATATTTCTGTACACCGGATATGCAAAGCAGGATAACACAGCTGTGAGTGCAACTTATCCTGCTGACAGTTAAGAGATTCTCCATCCCTTCCGAGAGGATTTAAGAATCCATCGCTTATAAAAAAAATAGTAGGGATGACAAAGTCATCTTGTCACTTTTTGATAACTAACGTTAGGGAGTCATTTGATAGGGGTTTAAAACTTCAAAGTGATAATTTCAAGTCGTGATGGTTCTGTGTTCCAAAGTAACTAACCCTCAGGGCACAGCCTGATCACCAGGCATAATGCTTATGTCTATTTTGTAGTGTATACTGACGTGCACAGTCCAGCAGAGAATGTAAAGATGTGTCGCCACACCAGAGGCAAAACCACGTCAAGCATGTGTGGAATCACTCAAGTGTACCGGGCAGATGCAAGAGAACAGGCATGGCTCTGGCTTGGTATAATAGCACTTTTTTGTCCTGCTGGTGTAGGTGTTTTGTGTGCATCTTGTGTTGGCACCCAAGAAAATAATATGACTCATCACACGTGGTTCACCTAAATACGGTTGACATCTTCCACAGTGGTGGTGATGTGCATGTGTACGTGAGGGGTGGAGGGGTGGAGGGGGGGGGGGGGGGTCTCCCAACCAATGTCTTATGCCCAGAGGTACCATGGGACTTTGCTGCCCAAGGACTTACAGCCACTGGGCCCTCCATACTTGCTGCACCTGATTTGCGTCCACGTACTTGTTGTTGCTGCTGCTGTTGCTGACTGCCGAGTGATGTGTGCGAGCCAGTGCTGGTTCCCGTTTGACTGGGCGTGGCTGACAGTCGTGACGGAGCACCATCAAGGCTAGCCTGACTGCCATCACTGTCACCAGCGCCACGCGATTGTGCCTGAAAGAGCTGAGCGAAGCGATCCACGGCGACGGCTACTTCGGACACTTTTTCAGATTCGACCGCGGCGACACTCGATTTGGAGACAACGTTCGCCGACACGCAGCGTGAACCTGCCGGAGGGTCGTCACCGTGTACGGAGCAGAGCGCCAGTGCTGTGAACACCTGATGGTAGGTGATCTCGTGCTCCATATTTGCGACGGTGTCGGCGTGGTGCGCATTCGGGCTGGTCGTGGCGATGGCGTCGCATGCCACCGGATGCGTGATCCGGCCACTGTACAGCTTCAGTGTCTGAATGTGAGAGTGTGAACATACACACATTTGTATGGGGGAGGGCACAGCACACAAACAAGCACACCGACATGCATGCATTCAAACACAGACACACAGACACGCACGCACAGACACAGACGGACGGACGGACGGACGGACAAGTTCATGCCAAACAATCAGTACTGTCTAGCCGGAATTAGTCATTCAGCCATGGTGCATGTATACGTATTGATGTGATGTGACTGTACGGCGAACATGTTGCCATAAGGCGTAGACCACGTGAAGAAAGATCCCAACCGCAAACTGAGAGCCTCACACAGAACTATGAAGAGGGCAGGTAGGCAGACACAGCGCACTCATCCCATAACGACAATTCTCTTCAAGTGTACTTCAAGTGCATACCTTCAACATCATCATGAAATCGCTGGCCGTGGGCAGTTGCTCTTCGCCTTCAATCACCGGACGAGGCCGCTGAAACATAACGTCCATTGAGCACAGTGCCGTGTAGAAGTCATAACAGAGAGATCTGTATGGCAGGATGGCATGCAGCAACTCCGGACGCTGGTAAACAAGACCTGCAGGCGAAAGAGAAGGAGATTCGACACCACAACGGCTACCATTAACATTTTTCATCGTCCCGAGTGGATTCTCTTGAGCTCTTCCAACCTCTGCGGGTCTCAATTGAGGTCTTGTGCTAAGTAGTTGTGGAAAGAGCCGCATGACATGTGCGGCCTAGATATACACCAGAGTGCGTCAGCGGCGGATCCAGCGGTCTCTACAGGGGGGTTCCAGTATAGTCAAAACTGAATAGCTGATACATGTACATGGTTGCCAGTAGTATTATTTCGAAATTTAGGGGGTTCCTCGGAACCCCTCCTGGATCCGCCCCTGTGCGTAATGTCAGTACTCTATGCCCCCATCCGACTTACTCTGATGCTGGCAAGCACACTGGCCGAGGTCATTCCTCACAAACTTGCTCACACAGACAGCAAGTGGATACCGAGCAGCTCTGCAGCAACAAGACAACATGAAAATACAGTGATACAGTCATGTACTTAGTATAGTATAGTGACCACTCCACGGCATACCGCCTGGGAGACCAGTCTCTATTAGGCATGCATGTTGTTCTCCTAAGCTGTTGTCTTTAATTGAGACTACAGGAGATTCCACTGCAGCAATTTACACATTCTGGAGGAGCCTTTCCCTTCGCAGCAGTCTAACATTTCCCATGTAATTAGCCATGAAATGGACCTTGTGGTAAGCCCTTAAAATGTCGTGAGTTCTAAAATAGCTGGGAGTTGAACTGGTCTCGACTTTGTCACCTATGACCGTTTTGCTGAAGAGCACTACTGACATAATGCCCTCCCCACCACTGGACCTACACACTCCATCACTGGACCTACACACTCCACCATAACCGAAAGAGATAGCCGACATGCCAATTCTAAGCCGCGATAACGACGTGTACATATGGATCAAATTGTTTACCATCACTCAAAACCCGATATCGAAACATACGCCATACAATATTAAATCCATGACTATAGAACAATAAGGGTAATCAAGGCTTGTTTTCTGCTACTCAAAGTTTCATGCTCTTGCAATCGTCAGGCAACATGAGGATGGGGTACTGACCATGCCGGTATATATGCCAGGAGAGGGTGGGTCTTGTAGCGCGGTATGAAAAGCTGTGTGTGAGTGTGGGGCTGTATAGGTTTCAGGTATTGCATGACTACACAGGAGGATGCACCAAGTGCGTACTTGTTAGCACTACACAGTATAACAGAGGAAGGCTAGTACAGTCAGACCTCGCTTATCCGGTCCTCTTTTATCCGGACCCCTCGCTATCCGGTAGAAAATTATTGGTTACCGATTTACAGCATATGCCATGCATACATACAGTAAGTGTGTTCGACCATCCGGTTCCCTCGCCTATCCGGATATTTTTGTGGAAAACGGATGTGTGCGGTTAAGCTAGGTCTGACTGTATATAGCAACTCTGAGTGACATGCTCCGTGTAGTCATCACTGATGCAACACGCTACATTCTCTGACTGTGCTGTTTTACGACTTACTGGACTTTAGGATCTTCTTTGTAGAGATCAAATGCTAAGAACGTTATCCACTGCAAGAATAGCCGGAATGGGACACAGTAGTTGGGGTCATGCAGGGATTTTCCCTCTATGAGACCCTTGCCGATGATGCGATCAACCTGCGCGAACGTGTAGTCGTCACGGTACAGCTGTAAATCTTCACACAGCACCCAGAACTGTGTGTGTCAGTAGCAGCATGCACAGACATACACAGTGGATGCATGCACCCACACACACGCATGTGCACACACACACATACATACACATGTGTCATGTACATACACACATACGTACACACACATGCGCACAAACAAACACAAACAGACAGACACACACACACACACACACACACACACACACACACACACACACACACACACACACACACACACAAAGGACACAAGCACAGATAGCACACTCTATTGAACTTGGTATGCAGAGAACAAGCTGCCAGAGCAATACCACACCAGCTTCCAAGTTGACTGATATTTGGCTGAAAGCGAAGCTATGAAACACGAACCGCATTCTACCATGCACCTGTGTGAGGTGGAACACCCGGCATACGATAACATGGTTGGTTCTTGGACTTGATAGTTGATACAGTATGAATGGGGCAAGCTCTAAATTGCAATAACCGTAAACGAGATACAGTCAGCGGACCTCGCTCACATCTGGTCCTCTTTTAGTACCCAGTGGACACTCTTTGAATTAGTTCTTACTCCACCACATACCCTCTCTGAATGACCTCATTCACACCAGCAACACAACTACAAGTTGGTGTAGAAATTGGCATGCATGTTTTCCTCCATACCTGAGATGTTACCCTCCTACTTTATCAATGGCCAATCTGGTGAAACAGATCAGTAGTGAACATCATGTAGTATGGTGCAAAAGGGTTTCAGTGTCCCTGGTCCCTCACCTTTCTGACCATTGTCACGAAAATAGTAACAAATGCGGCTTTAAAAGCAAGGTGTGAGTATGTGAAAAACATGTGCAGGTCATTTAGGATTGCTAGCATTAAGAGTACGATAGTAGAAAACAGATATTGACTGAAGTACAGAACCACTACTGTACCTGGCTACGTGTCATGATCTGTGATTCCTCCACCTCGTCAGTGTCCTTTCCAATAGAGTTGTAGTATGCGTATGCCGCCTCCAGCCTGTCAATGTACTTTAGCAGCGCATTGTGCACCTGAAGTACATGTACGCATGCAACCAAACACACACAAAGAAGACACGCACACAACACACAAAGAAGACACACACAAACACAAACACACAAAGAAGACACACACACAAACACACACACACACACAGAAGACACACACACATCATCATAACAAGTACATAGAAGTATTATACACCGATGGGTACCGTATTTCCCCGATTATAGGGTCGCACCTTTTTACACTAAAAATCAAGGGTGAAAAAGGGGGTGCAACTTACAATCGAGCATGACTTACTACTTAAGTCACTCAGTATATCAAAACAGTATTGCTCAAACCTGGAAATGGGGGTGCGACTTATAATCGAGTGCGACCTATAATCGGGGAAACACGGTATACTATTTCAGAATCAGTATGCTGCGTGGTGTACACACGTCATGAAACGAGGCGGTAAAGGTTGTAAATATAGCTAGAAAAAGCAGTCTTAAATTATATTGAGACCATCTAAGAACACAATCAATGCTACTGTAAATTTGAACAGAGGTTATGACTACGTGAACAGTGCCATGGTCGGGAGTCAGCAGATTCGCTTATGGGCGCTAATTTATACGGCGGAGTCGCTTACGGCCACACCATATGGAGTGACTAAAGAGGACAGGTGCGGCAAGCCAGTGCTAGCACATCGCTGCGCCGACATGGGCGTAGCCACACCGTCCGCAGCATCTCTTGAAGACGATGGATGAAATCGCATACCCTCTACAGGTTCCTCAGTGCAAGGTAACCCGTCTTGCCCACCAGGTCTTCACCCATAACAGGGTAAGGTTTTCCAGATGCACTATACTAGCCTATGTGTGGGCATAAATCCCTTCATACCATGATTCTAACTATAACCAAGGCTTGGGAAATGACTTCCTTCGCGACCCTACAAACTTTCATTTAAGATTTTGAAGCAGTGCAAGAACACTAACTTATGGAGGTTCAAAAACAGATAGCTGCCAAGTCCAGTTGACAGGGTCCATTCCCTCAGCAAGCCACGCGAGAACATCACACATAGTGTACTGACCTCCAGGAGGTGGTCATGTCGCTCATCTTCACTGATTCCCGCCAGCAGCTCCTGCTCAACAACATAGTTATACGTGCGAGTTGCGTCCACGTCGTCACAGCTATGGCCGCCAATGTCACCTGCAAAGCACACGTTGAAACATTGAAACAAGGCATTGCTTGTAAGAACATATTGCAGAGGAGTATAGTAGGCAGGATTTCAGCCCAGCTGATTTCAACCAAGCAAAGCATGCATTGTTCTAGAAAGCTAGCATCCTCCTTGGGTGCTTGGAGTCAAAACCAACCGATGACAGCCCCCATACAGCAGACATACTCAGTCGAAGTAATTTACCGGGTGAACCGCGGGGCACTGGCTACCTATTTGGCTTGTGTACAAAGCATGGGTAGTGGATCTAATACAGAAACAGCCCACTAGAAAACATTTTGATCATGTCTCACACCCAACTTACCTAGAAGCAACATCAGCGCTGCATCTTCGCGTCCAATTCTGGCACCTTGGACTTCTCCACTTCCATTTTCGCCTCCCATCTGCCGTAACACTTCCTTTGGAAGGACTCCGCTGAAAATGTTGTTTTCAAACAAACCTGACCACAAAACATGAACATCAAGACCGAATGCAGATAAATAGAAACTTGTTACTTTGCCGTGATACTGTAAACCGCCCAATATTTGCGTCACTAAGCTTTTGCTATCTCCCAGAACCAGCGAGTTTGTGATGGCAAATGTCAAACATAAAAAAGTCGCAAACAGGCACTTTGCCCAAAAGGTGCACAGATGCCCGCATGCAGGGGAGACAAAATTTCCCGACACCCTTTCCTCTTTCCACGATGCTACATCTTTGTCTTTCAGTACCTTAACTGCGGTCAGCGTTAGGGCCGCCCAGGTCTCTTCCAATAGAATGCAACAGTGCTGTGCAGATGACACAAACAGTCAATTTGGGTGCACTGCAAGAATAGTCTGTAACTGTTACACCTTCTTCTGCCTTCCTATCACTGCACACCTTGTACGTGCCTATCACTGCACACCTATGTACGCGCCTATCACTGCACAGCTTGTGCGCGCCTATCAGTTGCACACCTTGTGCAACTTCTAGCACTTACTGTTCACGGCTAACCTTGGCACCTGGTTTTCTACTTACTGTATACAACTGCTTCTTTACTAATACAGAGACGATTATTCCTCAGCCGACTAAGTGAGACGTTTACATTGGTAGCAAGAGGATGGTTTTCGATGGTTATCTTCAGTTTGCACTGGTTCTGACGCCTGCTGTCTTATCGTTCCTGGTACTCGGTTTACTGGTTTTCGCCGCTATTCAGAAGCTGCTGCGAGTTGCCAGGCTATTAGCCAACGGTCCAACGCTAACAACAGTACCTGTGACTCCTTGGAAGGGTATCGGAGCCACGGTCAACCAGAATCGGCCTACCTCGAGACCTCGGCCTTGTACGAAGGAGCCTCAAGTGTTCGGTGGCGAGGCAAACCAGTTCAAGGAGGGGTCTTTCGCTATCGAATTGGCTCTCAAGTCCCTGGAATAAGACAGTTCGGATAGAGAAGTGAACTATGCCGCTAGTTTCCTTGTAGGCAACGCTCGCCTTTGGCTCATCTCTTCCCTGGAAGCTGGTGAAACCTTTCCTGACCGGCCGTCACTAAGAGATGCGCTTGCTAAGGTATACGGTCCAAGCCTTCAGGTTCCTGAGTTGGACGAGCACTCAAGAGCGCTGCTGTTCACCAACGGGCTGTACGGCGATGTCCGAGAACAGGTACTTCGTGACCATCCGAAAAAAACCTTGTCGGCGGCCATACAGTCAGCTCTAACCTGCGGTGCTGTTAGCTCCGTACTCGACGCCATGAGTCACCCAGTCACCAAGTCACCGAGTCACCAAGTCACCCAGTCACCGAGTCACCAAGTCACCTGCGTCGCTGTTAGTACCCGTACTCGACGCCACAAGTCACCCAGTAACCCAGTCTCCAAGCCACCCTGTCACCAAGTCACCCAGTCACCCAGTCAAGTCACCAAGTCACCCAGTCACGGAGTCACCCAGTCAGCTAATGGGTCTCATCTCACCCAGTCAGGTAATGACAATGCATATCGCCTAAACCTGCCGACAACCTTACGCTGCCACCCTGTGTTCAATGTGACATTTTATTTAGCCAGGTTAAAGCACCTCTCAGGGGGTGTTGCACCACTTACCGCTGAATTTGACGCCATTGGTTGATGTGATTGTGCCTTTGCCATGTTTGAGGTTGTTCTCCCAACTGCCGCTGTACTCCATTCCACTTCACAACGATAGAAGAGAGAGAGACACACAGCATTAACAAATAATTTCACACAGCAATGGCAGCATTTACTTCATTGATAGTGGCTGGAAATCTCTAACATTCAAACTATTGTAACTCAAGGTCTGACTGTACCCCCCAAAAAATAGAAAGTCGTATGTCTTTCAGTAGTGGCATTCCAACAAATGCGGAAAACGCAGCCTAACTGAGTCTCCAACGAACCGTAACAAATGCCTTTCTATGACCCCAAGCAGTGAGGCACATTATGAAGCATTCACACTGAACATGAGGTCTTACTTCGAATAGGACATCGTGCCATGTCCTTGCCGTATTCCTTCCACGAAATCTCCGACATAATGCGTTTGGATAGGATGCTGCAGAAAACAGACAGGAGCATGCATGTATGCTGGCACATTGCAATAGTAAAATGTCTCGAGCATCGTCCCATACACCATTTGCAGCACGTTGGTTGGCTACAGGCACTGCTCATTGGATGAACTAGTTGATCCATGACGGTGTCATATAATGTGACTTCAGCGACTAATGCAATGAATTTCTCAAAGTCAATCACAGACAGGGCACAGTTCAAGAGAGATGGTCACTGCCTTTTTTCCCCACGGCTGGTACATTACATGATCAATACATCCGTATAAATATGGGGCTGCTGGCACTACATGATTTTCGGCTATTTAGAATAGGAAATCTTCATAAACTTCAAAGCCAAGGAAAGGCCAAGGAGTGTTTTTCTTGATGTCAGTGTACTCGGAAGTATACTCATGAGCCCTCCTCCAACTTTGAAGGTCAAGTCAATTTTGGAGATAAGGAGGCTTCAGATGGACAGCTGTGCTGCGGAAACCTCCTGGTTCGAATGTCTACATGCTTTTTCAGCACGCTGGGAAATCTTGTTAATACTCGTACATGTACTTCAGGTTTCTGTAAGTATTGCAGGGATGAATTTATCCGGTATCGCATCGCAGTTCACTACGCAAAATCGATCTACTGCTACTCAAAAATGACAGTGACACGCAGAAAACTGCGATACATACATTGTCCATGTACAGGCTGTCCATGCTTTTTGTAGCTTACGCCACAATTGAGATTTTGCACAGCAAAAACTGCTATGCAAACACACGACAGTAAATTCATCCCTGTATTGGAACCCTTAATCGTCAGTTCACACGGAGCTTTATACAACCTTGTTACTACTTACATCAAGAGAGGTACGCTTCATCCATCGATGTTCTCCATGCCCATGCTATGCATGTATTGGTGACCGAAAGGCAGTGCATGTAACGGTTAAACCATCAGCATGGTCACGGCACAACATGTCGGGGATAGGACAAGAGACAGTAAAACACCACAGTAATGCCTTTGTCGCGCAATACGTGCCACTCACTTAAACACAACACTACTTCAAAGTGCATGTGACTAGAGTGTGTAGTACTGGAAAATTGTCGCATGACAGGTCACTCATAATCATGCTATGGCGTCATACTCGAGTGTGAGTAATTAAGCTAACTAGTGGCTGTTGGGAATTCCCTTGTATGATAGGAATATTCGTTTGAGGGAGTTGAAAATAGGATTGTGGCAAATACAATAAGTGGCACATTTTAACGATCAGATTTTCGACCTGTCGCGTGACCACAATATAGTCATGTGACCACAAGACATCACATGACTGACATGCATGATCAATCATGTAATCACGAGACTTGCAAGTCCTCATATGACGTACTAATGCACAGCCCTCTGATCAAGAAAGAGCCTTTGTTTGATTACATACATACATGGTGATATGTGGTCGCCCCTTCTTACCATAATACCATTCTTCCACTGGCCAGTGTAGCGCTCGGACCGCGCAGTCCAGGTGAAACAGCCATGGCCAGTACGGCAGCCATTGACCCAGTTGCCTTCATAGGTATTCCCAGACCTGGTCAGTGTGCACACATCAACAAGAAGAGTACAAGACTACAGTGTACAACCTGAGCCGGTGCACGCACATGACCAGCACTGCACACAGACATGCACTATGTTTCTGTACCCTGGTGAACAGACACGAAATACTTTACACATCAAATTCATACAATTCCTTGCCGTGTTTACTATTTAGTTTCCTGTCGGTAAGTTGGCAAACATATACAACCTTACTTGTAGATTTGTTTTCCATGTCCGTTCCTCACATTGTCTGTCCAGTCTCCATCATACGACTCCATTGGAGCGTAACAGTAGACCATACGACCCTGCCGCAAAAAAACAAACAGCGTGTCAACAAGTAACAGGCCCGGCATACCAGATGCCAGGGGATATGACAAATTACGGAAGTTCTGTCCTACCCGGATAATTCTAAAATCTGCCATTTTCTTCGAAGTCACAGCTCCGCAGTGCAACAATCTCTTTTCCCAAGAAAGTTTGAAAATACTTCTAAAGTAGGATATTGGAATTCGGAATGCTTTGTCCCTGTGAATGTTCCCTGGGTAGTTCCAGTACGAAGACTTGCCATTCCATACAGGCAAGAGTAGCTAATGACCCAGAGTGTGCAGCTGCAGTCTATGGGGTCAGCGATGGCAGAATCATCACGTGGAAAGCCCGTACACAATATCTGTGCCCTGTACACACACATGATAGCTTATGTGTTGTATGCAACCCTCAGTGCACAACTCCACGGTGGTCCACGGTGCACTATTTGTCAGCGAAAACTATTGAACCATGTAATGTCATGTGAGTTGGTCTACTGCTTAGCTATATTGTGTAAGAACACTTGAAGGTTACCAATTGTTCTCAATCTCACCTTGCCAGTACGCACACCATTCACCCAGTCACCCTTGAAGAGTGTCTTGGACGGTTCATGAACGTACACTCCGCTACCATGCCGAGTGCCGTTCACAATGTTCCCTTTGTATTCACTGTGCACATACGGAGTCAGAATGGACAGGCACAGGCAATTCTAAAAGAAGTGGTATCGGCCACGATTCAAAGTACAGTCAAACCTGTCTAAGGCGACCCCTCAAGGGACGAGAAAAAGTGGTCGCCGTGGCCAGGTGGTCTTCTTCTCCAGGTTCAGTGGGTCACGTGACCATATCCACATGTGATACATCATTTTGATCAGTGTAACGCAGTCGCGGGTGGGTGGTCGTCGGTCGCGTTGAGTGAGTGGTTGCCTTATCCAAGCTGTTTTGAATGTGAATGCGTCCGTGACAAGGAAATGTGGTCGCCATGGTCGAGTGGTCGCCATTACAGGTTTTACTCTAGTGGCATACGACTCGAACTATGCGATCCCCGAAGGCTAGTAGTTAGGATACCCTAGGCAGTACTTCAAAAATATACACGGCACAATCCTATTTTGGTGCCAGGATGTTGAATTCTCAGTCCCCATACCAATCGTTTCTATGACCAATACACTCTGGAATGCCGGAGTCGGCAACCTCCCAATATGAGCAGACATGCTCACCTTCCATCCGGGTAGAATATACTTGCAAACCCATCTGGCTTGTTGTTGACAAACTCACCCTGCACGGAGGAGGAAAGACCAAGGAAAGAGATTGCAAATAAAGCAGCTCAGCAGAACTTTCAATACCATTTTTAGCCAAAGTATTGGGAATCAGTATCTCCCTTGACAATCTCCTACAAGTCAACCCAAGGGAACAACGTGTTGTTCAGCAGCGGCTCCAGTAATCCGATTCTGTCACAGAACAGTTCGAGCCAGGCGTGATAATATCATAATAGTCTAGCTCCAAGCTGTGTGTGTGTGTGTGTGTGTGTGTGTGTGTGTGTGTGAGTGTGTGTATGTGTGTGTGTGTGTGTGTGTGTGTGAGTGTGTGTGAGTGTGTGTGTGTGTGTGTGTGTGTGTGTGTGTGTGTGTGCGTGTGTGTGTGTGTGTGTGTGTGTGTGTGTGTGCAAGGCCGTCACAGCTGGGGCGGCTGGGGCGGCTGAGGCCGCCCCACTTTCTCGGCCGTTTTTTTTTTTTTTTTTGGAGCACACTCTATGCATGATCGCAGCTCAGCCCAAACGTGGCAAATAATGAAGAATCCTTGTCCCCGATCGTGGTTTATTGCAGAATCAAAAAAGTCTTTCATTGCACTCACAACACACTGAAATGGCACCAAATGCCTGGAAATGCTTGCAAATTGGCTTCAATTTTTGAAATTTTTCCCGTGGGAAGATAATGAAGAACCCATGTCCCCGATCGTAGCGTCTTCTTGGTTTGTTGCAGAATCAAAAAGTCTTTCATTGTAGTTACACTGAAATGGCACCAAATGCCCGGAAATGCTTGCAATTGGCTTCAATTTTTGAAAATTTTCCCGGGGGAGGACCCCGGACCCCCCTTCCAAGGCCGCCCCACCTCCAAAGTCGGTGCGACGGGCCTGGTGTGTGTGTGTGTGTGTGTGTGTGTGTGTGTGTGTGTGTGTGTGTGTGTGTGTGTGTGTGTGTGTGTGTGTGTGGTTACCAACCGCCAGTGTATGCCGGAGGATGTGGTGTGGTGTGTGTAGAAAAAAATGGAAAGATGAAAAAAAGGGATTCACTGGCCAGAAAAAGTCACTTCAAACAGCTGTGTGGTGGATACCAGGCTAAAAATAGTGCCGGTCAATTCATCAGCCTTGCAAGCTGTTGAATGGTGTAATCCCAGCACAAGTTGCTATGTCTAACATAGCTGTTCGCTATCATCGCTTCCGTGATGGGCATGTCTGAGGTCTGAGGTGTGTGTGTGTGTGTATGTGTGTGTGGTGTGTGTGCATAGCTGCCGGAGATGGCTCTCTCGTGGTGCCAATTGAACATGATCCCTGACCTCTCAGCAGACTGCCGACTTTCTGCCGTCGCTCATCGTTCCATGTTGTCGGCCCCGCAAGGGGACACGTGACCGTAATGGCAGTGTTTACCAGGACCAGGTGTGTGTGTGTGTGTGTGTGTGTGTGTGTGGGTGTGTGCGCACGTGCGTGTGTGTGTGTGTGTATGTGTGTTTGTGTGTGCGTGTGCGGTGTGTTTGTGTGTGTATGTATGTATGTGTGTATATATGTGTGTGTGTGTAATTCTGTCTGTCTCCTAACAGGTATGTCTGTACCATCCATCAATCTTTCTGTCTAACTGTAAATAGCTGAACCACACCACAGAAGCAAGTTTCATGACAGTGTGCCTGTGGGTCTGTGCCTCTGTTGCCGTTGTCCTTTTGACCTCTATATGAGGTCTGAGCGACCCTTTTGGCGTTTCGCTGTGCGGAGTCCGCCGTTGTGTGTGGATTGCGCACGGGCTGCGCCATTGCGCGCATGCGTATATTCATTATCCTTGCCACTGGCTGGTTCCACGCGAGGGCATTGGAAGAGCCCATCATCGAATCGTAACTCGTTAACCCGGCAACAATTGACGTCCAATGAGCGGCTCGAACCCACACCCTGAGATGAAGATTCTCATGCTCTACCGACAAAGCTAGCCCCGTTGAATCGTAATCCGACGACACATCTGTTTCTCTCTCTCACTCTCTCTCTCTCTCTCTCTCTCTCTCTCTCTCTCTCTCTCTCTCTCTCTCTCTCTCTCTCTCTCCAATACAATAGGTGCTTATGAACTTACATCCAGCTTGATACCACTAGCAAATGTCAGCAGTCCCTTGCCGTGTATGTAGCCATTCTGAAATTGACCCTGGATCAACAGGTGGAGCACAGGCAAAAACGGGACTGTTGGCCCGGGATCCAGTCTCACAATTGTGCGGGCTTGGATCTAGACGCTGCCACTGCTGTGTAGAAACCAACTGCCCGGCCAAATCACACTACTTCGCTGTACTTATACTTCCATTTCCAAACCATAAACACACTCAGAGATAGGGACTACATTTTAGTATTGTTACTGACTATGCTGACAAAAGTTGGAAACCGACAATAAATCACTGAAACACTCTACCTGGCATCATTCCTTTGTGTTGATTTTGTAGTGCAGGCGCATTACCAGTATAGTCATGCACTGGTCATCACATGTACCAGCATGTATGATGTAATGCACTATACCTGGTATGTATGGCCTCCATGTAGCTCTGCTGTGCCACGACCGTGGAAAAAGCCACCTACATTGCGACCACCTTGATATCTGCAAGTAAAAATAAGATGAAATACCGGTTCGGTGAATCGCTCTCAACTTGTGCCTGTCATATTAACCATGGAGAGGGGAGGGGAGAGGGGGTGGGGGGGGGGGGGGGGGTGACCAGGGTGACATAGCCTGGGTATATTCGAAGTGGTTTCCAGTGATCTAAACTCTACAAGCCTGGCACCAGCCCACAATTATCGACAAACAGTGTTTTCTTGTAAAACTAACGGAGTTCTCTCCGGTTCCGGCGCATATGATGAACCGGCATTCGGCCTGCGCCTGGGATGGGGGGGGGGGGCATTATAACCCCTGTTGATTGCACTCTTGGTCTGTCCAGCATCCAAGCTAACCTCCGAATCTGTTCTGCAGTGGCGAGTCTGTCTCTCAGCAGGACCGCCGGAAGCAGTTTTTGATTGGTTCGGTAGTTTCAGTGCCTTTCATACACTCTGTGTATATGACAGGTACACATGTCACATGATCTCCATAGCAGTTAACATGTGTTGATGGCTAAAATGTTGGTCCGGTGATAACCTGACCAACCAGGCCGGTTCCGGCGGTCAGGCACAGTTGCCTCAATGATCGTGGTGCTGTACAGCCACTACTGGTACACCAAAGAGGGTTCCATATTTCGCCAGCCATAAGACATCTTCACATCGTTGCATATATGTACGTTCGGGCCTGGTTTAAATCCGGCTTTGGAAAAAAATCATTGCTATCAGGTTCGGCCTCATTTTCTCTGTGCTGCGCTGATGAGTCCACAAAGGACGGAGCAGTTCTGTTCGCAGATCGTGAATTGTTCTTGTATTCAGTCAGGAGAAAAGCTCAACTAGCACCTAACTCAACGGTTCTTGCTTAGGAAAAGGGATTTGAGCCATAGTCTGCATAGAACAGATTCGTGCTATTATTTCCATTCAACAAAGGCAGTCTTTCCTCACCTCTGCACAAGCACTGCACCAAGGGCTGGTTCAAGATAGTCTTCATCACACAGCGGTGCTCGACCACCTGCACTAGCGGCACGGCGAAATCCTTCAACGTCTGCGCTCATGTCAGCCGCTCGTCGAGCCAGCATAGCGGTATCGGCACTGGGGGTGAAGTATGACGGCAACAATATCCTCTCCACTCCAGGTCAGTTCTGAAGGTTTCTACCGCTCTATGGCGTTTCCAGTAGCAATTGCCAATCTGGGTAGTTCTCGCGGCCCCACTCCTCGCAGATCCTCAGACCTGGTCTCGCACTTTTGAAGCTCTGGACAGATGCCAAGCAGCCTTGAGCTGTATTCGGTAGCGAGGTAGATACACCACGTCGTTACATGTACGTGGACTAAAATAATTGTAAATAGTTTCGTTCACAAAGCCATGTTCGGGTGCATTTCCTTTGGTCAGAGGATCTCAGTACTTTTCGTACATAAAATCATTGGTCTTCAAGTCCGTTTCACCGCGCTCTCATCCCACTCTCAGTCTCTTGTCACTATGTCAGGGTCGATCAGTGAGAGGAAGTCGTACGAACCCAAAGCCAAAGGCCAAAGGCAAAGGCAAAGACAAGTGGCAAAGAAGATGCAGACTTTGTGCGACTCCCTGATACATCCATCCATGCAGTACTGTCTGTTTGCATGGTTTGGGGGGACGCTTTTTTCGAGTGTGTTGTCATGACGCGTTGACATGACTCGAGTCGACTCGCGAATAAAAAAACCCGACTCTCGTGTACGACACATGACATAAACAAGAGTTATGCACTTTTTTAAAGGGGAAGTATACCCTAAAATCAAATTTTCACCAGTTGTAGTCTTCGGGGTGCTGAGTCGAATGGTCTTGGTCCGAGGAAGCTGCGACGCTCCCTTCCTACTTGAATCCCAATCGAACTCGCGCACTTCCACCGAAACTGGGTGACTGCGCCCTACTAGATGGGGATGCAAAATGTCACTAAAAGCGCCATTTCGTTCTTACAAAAGCACGGATGACCGCGAGTCCATATGTTGTAGTCTTTTGGACGCTGAGTCGACTGGTCTTGGTCCGAAAAGGCTGCGATGCAGCGTTCCTCCTTTATTCCCAATCGAACATGGTTGAAGAAGCGGTCACGTGGTCTTGGTTGCCCAAATCACCTGGTCACCGCGCCAGCAGGCGACAACTTTCACACCAAGGTTCAACTCGAGTGACAGGACTGCACCCAAAAAAGGTCAAACAGGCTAGTAAGTTGTACCAAGAGTACATAACGGGGGGTTATGTACTCTTGGTTGTACCCTGCAGGCACGGTGACCAGGTGACTGGTGTACGCAGGAGCACGTGACCGCTTGTTCAACCATGTTCGATTGGGAATAAAGGAGGAACGCTGCATCGCAGCCTTTTCGGACCAAAACCAGTCGACTCAGCGTCCAAAAGACTACAACATATGGGCCAATCGCGGTCATCCGTGCTTTTATAAGAACGAAATGGCGCTTAGTGACATTTTGCATACAAATCCCCATCTAGTAGGGCGCAGTCACCCAGTTTCGGTGGAAGTGCGCGAGTTCGATTGGGATTCAAGTAGGAAGGGAGCGTCTCAGCTTCCTCGGACCAAGACCATTCGACTCAGCACCCGTACCCCCGAAGACTACAACTGGTGAAAATTTGATTTTAGGGTATACTTCCCCTTTAAGGTGGCTCACGCCTATTTCAAAAAAATTAACGATTGCTCTGAAAATTTGGTGGGCGGTTGGTCTTAGGTAGTTTATGCAAATGGCGAGTTAAAAAAACGGGGTCTCAATGCTAACTTTTGAGATATAGGCGATGACAATTTCACTAAATTGTCAAATTTGTACAGGATTTATGATGTATAGCGGACGGGTATTTCATCAAGAACCTGATTTACAATCTTCCTCATTTTTTGGTTATTGAATGGACTAACTGTGTACATGCCAATGAGAAAATAAAAAACATATGCTTCAATGCTCAATTTCGCCATATAGGCGCAGAATGCCATTTTGATAAGTTTGCTTTGGTGCATGTACATGCACACCTACATATCCCATGTACATGTCCATATACATCTACTCTTCTCTACTAGCCCACCCAACCCTGCAATACACATTGACACAAGTGTACACACACATACCACACACAAACACACACACACACGCATACATGCAAACACACACGCATACATGCAAACACACACACGCATACATGCAAACACACACACACACACACACACACACCTGTCCTGTCGAGCCACTACCACTAGGGTCACGTGGGCCCCGGAGTGGCAGCAGAGAGAGAGAAAGAGCACGCCACCCGGTGGCGCTCCAGACACACACGCACACGCACACACACACACACACACACACACCTTTGGAAAGCCCATCGCCAAAGGCGATGATAGCTATTAGGCGAGGCAGAACACACACACACACACACACACACACACACACACACACACACACACACACACACACACACACACACACACACACACACACACACACACTACTACTACTACTACTGCTACTGTAGCATGGTTGCCCAAGGGCCACACCATTCCGAAAGAAGCCGGAGTCATTGTCAGGAGCAGAAACGGAGATGACGACTCAGGTCACTCTGTCGACGGAACTGACGGCTGCAGCGAGAACAGCGGACACAATATGACGCTCTGTCAGACTTGGTTGCCCGATGGCCACGGTCGCACATGTGACGTCTGAAACCAGGCACTGACTTGAATTGCCGATTGCATGTCAAACACAAGAGAGAAGCATGGACGCTGAGCGGAATAGATGATGCCGGCGCGGACACTTTCGATGGTTCCAGGGGCAAACAATGATGCACACGCAGGCCACCACGAGAGTGAAACCACCTTCTGCATGTACCACACTGCACAGCACCACGCTGATCCTGGATGGGGAGACTTTGCTCTGCGCCACATTTGTGCCTTGTTTGTCACCTGGCTGGCGAAATGACCGATGGCAGATAAGACAGTCCACCCGCCAGGCAGACCTATCCTGAGCAACCTCATACCAGGCCAGACAGACAGACAGACAGACACACACACAACCACACACGCACAAACGTGCGTGTAAACAGTGACTAAACACACACACACACACACACACACACACACACACACAAGGCACACACATGATCGCACGCCTGCAGATCATCGCTCCAATGAAGATAAGATTACTACTTCTTTGCGTAAATATGTTTGAGATAGAGTGTCACTCTTAGATGTGACTGATGCCATCAACCAATGTCAAGGAAAAAAATTCACGGTTCGCGTCAGACTCGGCTAGAGGCCGAGTTTTCCGCATTCGTAGGAACGCCATCATCCTTCAAGGATCAAGGCGCAGATGCAAGGAAAGAATGTGTTCAATCTTCTTCTGCACACGTAGAAATATGTTTGGGCATTTTCGATGATTTAGAATGTACGTCGCGTGAATATGACAATGTGACAGAGGCAGCCACAATTTACTGATTACTGTGCATTGATCTAGCTATATACACTGCAAGTGCACTGTAAATATTGTGTTACATGCACGTAGTTGTGAAGGGAGACAGTATACAGTCATGTACATTCACCAATGACACACCTGTCAGACAGCAGGTTAGGGCTAGTCAAAGTTATGAAGGCAAGTTATGAAGGCACAATATACGATACAAAGGCACAATTTTGCGATGTACTTGAGTTTGTGAATATAATAGTGGACTTTGTGTTCACACATACTCTACCAAATTGCCATGCACACCCTTGTAACACACACACACACTTGAGCCTGGGGAGCATGATTGCTGTCAGCCAGTGTTGCTTTCAAATGCCTATTCTCGTCAGGAGTGATGTGAAACACATACTGGTAAATATCAATCTCTAAAAAATGCATCCTAAATAAAACGCTCAAGCACTGAGTCTAGTCAGAGTGATAAGACAATAAATTGAAGGAATTTCTCAACAAAAATTCAGTGTACCGCTGTGATGAAGCCGCGGCAATAACTATAGTAGAGTTCTTGGTGGACAGCGATTACCATAAAGAAATGGTGAGATACTACAGTAGTACCCTCTACTGACACAATGCAACCACGTTGTCCAGTACATGTTCGAATCAAAAATACTTTCGTACATTCGTGACCATTTCAATTTATATTCAAGCGCGACCTCCACAATTCACTGGCTTCAGAGTCGATTGATCATTATAGAACGGCCATTCTTGACAAAATAGTCAGACAAATTTTGCGAAGGATGGCGTTCTACTGTGGAAGGGACTCGCCAAGTCACTTGAACCAATTCAACGAAAAATACAAAATACTCAGGTTTTACACATTCACGTACCCGTCTGTGCCGTCCCCCATTCCTTCCAAGACATCCACATAGACTCCAACGCTTTTATTCTACTCTTTTTCCGAAGCCGACCATGGGCATGGGCAGTGCCTGCTGGAAGGGACATCCCAACACTTCTCTGACAGGTGACAATTTCCACAAGTAAAAAATGCACCTAAAAAAAAGTAGCCAAGTGAAGGAGTGAAAAAAAGAAGAAAAAAGCTCACTCTCTAGACTCGAGTACGAGAGTTTCGTACTCAGCACGGTGACTTCATGTGCACCAACTAACGACATGGCGTCCTTTCATGCGGTTTACCGCACGGATTTATGAAGTCGGACATATTCCGATTTATTTGCATCAATCGCACAAAATTAGGTACATTTCTCTTGTAAACCCTGTCAGTTTGAGAATTTAGACAAACACCGAACAAATTTTAGCCGCGACGAGGATCGGGAGAAATCCATCATAATTATTTTACATAGCTACTACCATCACGTCGACCGAGTGAAGATCGAAATGATAATGGAATGGAGAGAAGAAGACCTGAACTAGAGTGCTTGAGAGACTATGTAGTGTCACATGAGAATTGCTTCGTTAGGAAGGCTCTCCTTTTGAATGGAGAAGCCCAACGTCGCTGATCTGCATCGCCGTTTTCAAGCGCTGATCTGCAGTAGGAATGTTTTTGTAAATTATTCGTAGTTGTGGACGTGGATGGATTCAGCGCTCTGTTCTCTCAGCAAGCCTACTCAGTCCAACACGAAGGACTTCCATGAGCGAAACAACGTGCTCCTCGAGCAAGTGCAGCTCGGGGTAATATGGCCAATGCCACGGGAGACCACCTCGTGCCTGCATAAGGCCAAGAATTGATGGCAAGAAATCTTTGATGAGCACCTTCGACTTCAAGGACGCAATATTATATCTCCTCAGCAGTAACTGCAGCGCTCTTGCTGAAAATATCACTGCCAGCAGGCACTAGGCATGATTTAGTGAAGAGCTACTTGTACTAGCGATTGGAGATTTGGTGTTGGCATATCTGCTCCATCATGGTAACTGGTGCGTTTGTCAAGGCAGTGCAGTTTCTGCTGCTGTTTCACAAGCCATATGCGCATATGCGCAGTGAGTAGGAATTTGTTGTATGATAGCTGAGGATCACCAGCCTTCATGGACAAACCTATGTTGGGACTGGTTGCTGAACAGTGCACACCTAAATCTCTCAGCAAGCTCTCTTGCTCAGCTGGTGACGAACACTATATACCCGCTGCTTTGGGCTTGCAGCCCCGTCTCCCGACCGTAGACCGATCGAAAGGCTGTCACGGTCCTGTGACCATCGGCGTACAGTTGACACTGATGGGGCATCGGATAAAGTGCTGGCGTCAGTAATTCTCTTGTATACCTGGAATCTACATCTACAGCTGGTTTCGACTTCCAGCCATCCTCCGTTAGTTATGCTTGTGACTATCATGCCAGCAAGTCGATCAGCAGCATCACCTCGCATCTTTGATGGTGAGGCCTGCAAAACGTCACCGACCAGTGACGATGCTCAAATAGGGCACCCTACCAGAGCTGGCGCAGTGTATGGTGCAGTCTTTCATGAATCCATAAACTATGCTGTTCGGCTGCTGTAGCTCTGACGCTTGCGTGTGTGCCTTACATTAAGGGCAGCGGGCCGTCTGCTCTAGCCATTTGCCAATGCATGCACGGCTGAACGTCTACCAGCAAGCTGCAAACACTTCTCTCTCTACCTGTGACATAGTGGACATTGTGCGTGTGTTATTGCATTCCTATATGAACTGTTCTGGATGCAGAGATTTACCCACTAAGCCCTAGAGAAATATGAATAAATACTATACTACTATTACTAAACTTGGTATGCGGGTGTGACGTGCTGCTGCTCATCAGATTCGGTCCATGCGACGCTCGTGTTTTTAGTTTTGTTATTTTGTCTTCCTTTTTTGAATTCGTAAACCAAACAGACTAAACTATCCAGTGATCAGGTACTGGTGTGGTGGGGCAAGGTTTTGTTGGTGATGCTGCTGTCAGTGGTGGCGGCGTGCATGTGCTCGTGCTTGCGGGCGATGGCCCGCGTTTTCTCCCATGCCGCAAGTTTGTCTTGCGTTTGTGTTTTGCATTTGGACTTCCTGCCAGGCTTGGAAGACTTGCATTTCAAACAGTTTGTCCCACTGTGTGGCTCCCAGTCTTTGAACGGTGTACATCCACCTCTGGAGCTCCAGAGAATGTTGGGCCCCTGGCAGTAGCAGTGCATTCCATGGCCAATTTGCAAGTGTGGCAAAAAAGTTCAGGGTGTATTTGGTTTCATCCACATCAAGTTGAGATGAAACACTGCCAAAATGGATTGAGTATGATCTGCCACACGATACTTCGTCCGTCCACTCCTTGACGCGAATTTCTCCCCTCCAATACGACAACACGACGACAGGAAGCTAACATGAGCCTCCATTTCTGAACAAAATAACGTCTCTAACATGGCCACGAAAAGCTACAGTTATGCACGTCAAGCTTAGGAATACACGAAATCGAAAGGCTAGGACATCGAGGTATACTAGAAAATTGTCTGCGAGGCGGAGAAAATTCGCTGACGAGGTTGGTGAGCCCTTGAAATCGAGCGACGATCCAAAAATAATTGCACCCACGTCGAGAAAGAAACCATGCGTAGCGCGTGGGTAACCCAAAAAGATCGCTCGAGCGGCGGCACAGTCGAAGGCAAGGCCAGTCCAAGCTCTAAACTCTATCGAATGACCTGGCAAACACCCGTGGTTTCGGTTGACCTTGCCCGTTTGAGATGGAAGTCGAGCGAAATTGCAAACATACAACTAGGCCAGGTCGCGTAAAAAATGAAAAATATTAAAATTTGGCCGCCATATTTAATGAACGCCCGTCGCATGCATGGGACAGCCGTGTCAGCTGATCAGGCCATCTCTGCTCGAGCTGGACCCTAGCTAGCTAGGCCCTTCGAAACTGGAGTGCGCTACAAGCTCGCTACGCCAACTCCGCATGCACTTTTCTCGAACGTAGGATGCGCGAGAACCTGCGCAGAAGACGAGTTTAGAAATAGGCGTTAATAGAAATTTTCGTAGACGTCTACGTCACACATTTCACGCGTGATGTAATGCCGATCGCCGGTACGTAGACATCTACGTCATGATACGTAGACCTACTACGTAACGTTGGCTGATTTTTTCGTTTTATCTGGTCAATGATTTTGCAGAAGCTCGTTTTTCTCTCTGATCATAATCGACCTGCAAGAAGCAACTTATTTCTTCTTCTTGCTGAGCACTTTCAATCTACGTTTTGCTTTCTCGAGTGTTCGAGTTATCCTTGTCACCAATCTGGAGATCCAGGACGTGATGCAGTGATGGGTCGGAAGGTTAAGAAACGGTGAGTCTCGAAACCGTCGATAATAAAGTCTAATTTTAATAATTGAAATATTTTTGTAATGAGAATAGAAATGATCTAGAAAGCTAGACACAAGCGGATTTGTTTGTTGCTCCTCATATATCGCCAATGTACCGATATTAAATAGTAATGGTGTGAAAGGCCTGGCCTCATCGGATTTCCAGTGGCTACGGTGCTTCATGTGCTAGATTGTCTTCCTCCAAAAAACACATTACTAGTACTAGTATTCTATTTCAATAGGGAATGAAGTAAAGTGTTGTCATGAGATTGTCAGTCGTGGTTGTTTTCACGCTTTGCTATTTTCATATCAAGATTTTGAGCATCGTGGAAGGTAAACCTGTACTTTAGCGCCCCCCCCCCCCCCCCCCCATATAATTATGGCACTAAGCACAACACTGATATACATTGTACTTGGTCCACGTCAGCGATATTGTCGCTTATTTTTCAGCTTTGCTTTAATATATGTCGCTAATGCTCACTCATCCCAAGTTTGGTTAGTAAGTTAGTTTACTTGTACCTGAAAGGTCTAGCTAGATTTCGAGTGGATTTCGAGAGCGACGGGTGGGTGATTTTGATTGATACAGCGCCGCATCAAAATAAATGATCTTGTTACGCTGTGCAGGCAAGAGCAGCGCAAGCCCCAAGAAAGTAATCGGCTACTCGGAATCAGCTCCATTTTGCTGAACGGCCGAGATCGCTTGCCTCAGGGATCGCTCGTCAAGCTGAGATTGCAGCTCCCTTATCTCCAGCTCAACGCCCGGAGTATCCAGTGCGACAATGAGATTTGCAAGAAGGACACTTGCAAGTACTGTACGCGTCGTCGTCGTCGTTCAAAATAAAATCTTGCAAAGAACGGCGTCTGATTAGAACCACACAGGCTGTCGTGCTGCCCACGAGAAGTCCTATAGAGAAGGCGACCGTCACGATCGACTTCTCTTTAGAAAATAGCCAGGCAGAGGAGAGGAAGAGAGATGATCTTGCAAAAGCAAGAGAGTCGATCCCGAGCAAAAATATTTGTCACCAGCGCCGAGAGCAGCGACGAGGAGGACTGAAAAAAGAAGGAACCCTTCCTTGGACAATAAATTCCTCATAGCTAGTTGTCATTCTATTCCTTACCTTCCATCGTACCAAGTTTTATCACTTCAAGTGCACGCGTTGATGTCCAAAGTCTAAGTTCAAATTGTCGAAAGATAAGCGACAATATTGCTGACGCGGACCAAGTACAGTGTAGTCATTTTAGTGCTGAAATCACCTGAATACTACATTTTTTAGTACAAGACATCCGACGACCTGGGGGCGCTAAAGTACAGGTTTACCTCATGGAAGATGCATATACTGAGGTCAGTGGACTTACCAGATTTTCCCAGTGTTCCCATGGTGTTCCCATGGTGTTCGCAAAGATGAGAGTGATTTTTCCTATAAAACGGAGATTTGCTTCTCCCTGGATCTGACGAAATGTCCTGGGCTCAAGCTACAGAGGACCCAAGAACGCGCTCCCTGCTTCTGTTCAGGAAGCTGGCTGGTTTAAAATATTCACGGTTCGCGTCAGACCCAGTCAGATGGAGCTTTGTCGCGTCCGTAGGAATGCCACCACCCGCTGTCCTGGCTGCTGGGCACTGGCGCTGGTCAGCTATGTGCAAGCTATTGCCTGGGAGGTGTTACAATGAACTTAGATAGCATTATATGTACGCGTTGCCTTACAGCGCAAAATTTAATTGTGAGCCAAATTCTGCCATTGTGTGTACGTAAATTGTCGTCGGTGTGTTATACTAGTAGTTGGTAGTGCAAGCGATGCTATAGAGCTGTCAATGGCTGTGAGAGAACGTTTGCCGATCGACGTCAGCGTCCTCATATCGACAGAAAGACTACATGTTGTGTGCCTGTCTGCTATCACAACACAAAGGAACCTCCGGGGGGGGGGGGGGGGGGGGGGGGGGGAGGCGATCTTGAGTTTTCCCAGGTAGCTTTTTCCCACGGCATTGTGGAACCCGCCGCTGATGCATGGCCGGCCTGAAAGTTTGAATCCGCCATGTAAATTCATGGTGCAACATTTCGTAGTCATGTGAGGCACCTGCACAGCGTTGCTCAATGAAATCCAGTCGCGTCACTCAAGTACGCGCCAGGCGTTGTGCAGCCCTTGACCTGCGAACACTGGGCTGCGAAATGATGCAAGGCGCAAACTTAGTGACGCTACTGAGTTTCATTGAGCAGGACTGTACGATTGTTGTATAGCTGTATAGTATAGTAGTATAGTATTTATTCATATTTCTCTAGGTATGATGTAAACACTGTCACAGTATAATCTATCAGTCACACAGAGTGACAGCTAGTGCATGGAGTTGGTTTGCTGTGCAATGTCATGTCATGTTCCGAACGGAATAGCAACTTTAGCTAGAGTCTGGTCATTGACATAGCTCTCTGGCGCTAGTTTCTACTGCTGGTTTGGCGTGCTACCAGTACCACCATTGTGCTGTGCTGTAGATCTATGTGTAGGCGTAGAATGTATAATCTACAGTTGTGGCCAAAGAAGTCCAGCCCATGTGCCGAAAGCAGCACCGAGGCTGACGCGGCACTGTGGACCTTGGATCAGTTTTGGGAACATGCATGATGTAATTGAATGGAAACGCAGCACTACTTTAGACTCGTGGGTCGGATTTCTTTGGCCACGACTGTACATTGTAGACTGTATGTAGTGCAGCACATGCTTTTTAGGGGTCTCCACATATAACGCCGTCCATTGCAGAGCTTGATCGGTGACTTGAGCTGCACTTGGACTAGTCTGCGCTGGAAAAACATGTTGCTATGACCCAGAGAGTAAACTGTCTCACTCAACCATCCATCTAATTGTCCATCCCAGTGGTGAGATTCATCCATGCCATATCGCGGGCTGACAATGGTTATGCGGCCAGTAGTACACTGCATCACGAAATGAATTGAAGTAAGTTCAAGGAAGCGGCGAAAGGCCTCATACAGGAGAAGCTACACAGTGGAGATGCATTCACAACATGAACAACTCCTGGCAGCTATGCAATGGCGTTCTCCTCACCTCTTTGTCCCTCGATAACAGTGCTGTCAAGTGTAAAACACAGCGTGCAGATCACAACTACTCCATTTTCTATAAATGGTGATGCCATTCTGTTTTGACACGCACATCGTCGATTTTTCCCTTTCCAATCCCTCGAACTTAGGGACACAGTCTATTTTTCCATTCTGTGAGTGTTACGGCCTTTTCATTTCCAACAAGAAAATTCATTGTTCTTCTTACCTGACGATGGCCAAGTGCCGAAGCGTTGTGAAATAACGGAACTATAATTTCTGTAGTTTGGATGTGCAGCGCTATGGGAATGGGTATGTCCACCCAAATTCCTTTCACAGATGAAGCTGCAGGAAGCCTCAGCCCTTCTTCAAAATTCAATTGTCCCTGTTCTACTTTTATGCTGACTTGTGATGCTTTGTGTGTTCACAGAGTGCGCCGCACTGACGGCAGTGATGAAGAGGAGAATCATGTTGGCGTGGCCGTGGAAAGCTTGGGTGTAAGTGTCCAGCTGTATGCAATGTTGCAGCGTCTTTGCGATTTGTGCACGTGCCTTGGACTGCTTAGCGCGCCTTGGATCGGATAGGGCTTCTGAACCTCATTGCGCATCTTACGTGTATAGGCCACAGCCAGCTATAACATGTCTTCAGGTTAAAAAATGTATTCTTGAAAAATGTGACTTTGCTCGCCAGCTGCTTGAACTAGACCGCCAAATAAGTGTGAGAACGAAGTTCGACAAGATACTCAAGCCCTCAGTTGATGAATGAAGCACAGCGTGAACGTGCTCAACAGAAACAATTCTTCATTCTCTCATGTCTCAAAAAATTTACGAAACCTCACAGACATGTTAAGCTGACTGCGGCGCTATTATACTTCTGGTGTTGCCTACTTTGTTTACACATGCAGGCCGATGATGCGATGTTCAAGGATGATGTGGATGTGCACCATGGGAAGGTAACTCTAGTTTTGTTTTGTACTGTGAATGCCTCATCGTGTCTCATGCATCTCACGAACAGCTTCCCAAGTGGTGAACAAATGTGCATCCTTTGTGCTACGTTGAGGAAATCGCTAACGCGTCTAGTCCATTTGAACTCATGCGCGTATGAGTGTATGCTATTGTGCTTGTACTGACTGTTTAAGAAGCTATATTCTTTCCTGGCACTTGTGTGTGTGTGTGTGTGTGTGTGTGTGTGTGTGTATGTGTGTGTGTGTGTGTGTGTGTGTGTGTGTGTGTGTGTGTGTGTGTGTGTACATGTATGTGTGTGTGCTTGCATGCGCGCGCGTGTGTGCGTGTGTGTGTGTGTGTGTGTGTGTGTGTGTGTGTGTGTGTGTGCATGTGGGTGCATTATGTGATTGTAGGTGTGCATATTTGTGCGTTATTATGTGTGTACGGGTGCATGGTTCAGGCTAGATTTTCCTTACCGGTTTGCTTCTTTGCTCTGTGCTTTCATTCGTTAGTTGATGCTTGATCCTGAGGATGATGAAGGAGACTTTGATGAGAGATTTCCGGTGAGTCTTGATCCGTCTCTTCAGACAATGACTTGATCACATGTGTAGCGGAACCTTTAGCCATGCATTCTTATCCAACATGGCTCAGATGTTCTTGCTCAGATTCGAATCCGGGAACGATAGTAACTGGAAGAAGGCACTCCGGTACACCGTTTGTGAGCGGGTAGTACTTGGTGCCCACTGCATAATGCGGTGTAGTGTTGTCCATCTGCAAACTCCAATCTCCCTGAGGGTAAAACAAAACAAAACGAATACCGTGTTGGTGGTAGTCCTGGCAGCTTAGTTCCTAGCCTTAGGCAGGTGTTAGCCTTTGGCAATTCCAAAGATTTAAATGGTGCCAAGAACAAGGTTGAGAAGAATTTGCGTGATGAGCATAGGTTATAATTAATAGCGAATCTTGGTAGCCGGGCATTCTGGCTGTACTGCCTGTAGATGAGCTAGCATTGTGCAAGAGAGGTGCTGCTCATTTCATTTCACATGATCTCTTTATATTCTTTTTGCTGCCTGGTCTGACACAGGTGATGGTAGTGTACGTTTGCTGTGCCCATTGTTAATGTATGTATTGGTTATGTCTTCTCACAGGGTGTTCATATTGATCCTGCCGATTTAGACGACACCGATGACAGTGATGACGACGACGATGACGAGGACAGTGACGAGGCAAGTACAACTGTACAATATAGTGGAGTGCAGTGAAAGTGCATGTACAGTGTAGACTGGGGCTCTGCCAACCGTGGAGGTTGTAGTAAGGAGCACTGTTTTCAAGCACAGTGCGTCCTCCGCCTTGTAACATGCTGTCAACCAAACAAGGCTTATCCAACATTGTGCCCTGTGTTGAGAATTTCTGCAATGCGAAAAAACCTGTGCTCATCAAGCACCGTACAACGCCCCGAGATGTTTTGTGACTTGTGTGAAGAGGCCACCTGTTATTAGCGATCAATTTTCTGGGTGCTCCCTAGGGCAGTCGTTCAACAGAGGTTCATTGACTATGGTGTTGTGCTGATGGAGGAATGTTGTAGCATAATTAGTTCTGATGTTTTCTGTTTTTGTTTGTGCTGTCTCTTTTTTTAACATTTGTGCAGGATGGAGAGGAAGCAGGTGATGGCACCAAAGGTTTGTTTATGACTGCTCTATTGCCTTTCTTTGTGCCATTTCAACATTGTGTTGGCCAAAGCTGCTCCCCCCACCCTCACCATGATCCATCACTGTCCAAGTGTTCTGAGAACACGTACCAGACATATTTTTCCTTCACCTTTTCATGGTCGTGTAACTTCAAGCCTCTCTATTGGCACGGCCGAAGAGTATGCTTGCTGGCAAGGCCGATGAACATGGTTGCATGGGTAGTATCCAGTAGCAGTTGAATTAGTTACTATCGCTTTATTCCACCACATAACAGTTTGAATGTGACTCTCTACATCCTACTGTACACAGCTATTGTGTGCAAGGCTACTGTCACATGCAATGGACTATACATTACTACATCCTATTATACACAGCTATTGTGTGCAGGGCTACTGTCACATGCAATGGACTATACATTACTACATCCTATTATACACAGCTATTGTGTGCAGGGCTACTGTCACATGCAATGGACTATACATTACTACATTCTTCTATACACAGCTATTGTGTGCAGGGCTACTGTCACATGCAATGGACTATACATGTACATGGAAGCTATTCGTTTGACTGAAGTGTTGTCAATTATATATTGCAACCGTTGTTTAATGATAACTTTGCCACGAAACGTTTAGTTACAACACAATCTGACTGGACATCTCTTCCTATGTGCTGTTGTGAATTGTATTTAAAATTGTAGCAATTCATTGTCTCACTTGTATGAATCTGCTTGTCTACAGCCTGGGGAAAGAAAGCATCAGCATTTTATGGCACAGACTACATTGACGACGGTCTCGGTACGTTCATCTTGACGCCGCTGCTAGCATTAGTTTCTTGCAGCTTGTTATGCATGTGCACGTGTGTTTATGTGTGCCTATTCATCTAGTTGTCATTGCTGTCATTGGGTGTTTCTCTTGTATGATGTGCATGGGTATTACTTCAACTTGTTAGCATTCCGCTAGGACTCACCTTCTGTGCCCGCTGGGCACGCCTGGCAACATGGTCATCCATGCCGGCTATTTTCTCCTGCGTATTTGTCACTCCGTCTCAACACTGTTTCTACAATAAGTAACATGGTCTCTTTGATGCGGTAAAGATCTTTTCTCATTCACCAAATATCCGAGCATGGCCCATTCTGAAGGTGAACAGCCAAACAAACTTTTGACCAGCGATGGAAAGGGCATCACACCCTTTCCAGTATACGTTGGTGCAGTCGTCATCCCAGTAGAGACCGTATTCTACTTCAGTGTTCTCCTTTCTGCATAGTTTAGTTCACACACCATGGCATGAAATCACAGTATTGCTACCTGCCCACATGGTTACACATATCCTTAAAAAATTATATTTTATTATACAGTGAGACTTCAGTATAGAGTACCCTGAATATGACATGTGCTAGCAGAAACTGGCAAACTAGGATTTGCGACCTCGGCGATCATCTTTAAAGATGATGGCTGTCTGGAGCCTTAGAGCTCGCACGTCCTGCTGACTGGCTGACACTTGGCTGCTGTCTGAAGCACAGGAGAAGCATGTCAAACCTTCCACTCTGCACACCTGGAAGAAAGCACCGCTTTTTGCTCGCTACACAGTGTTTCGGGAAACTCACCGCTCATCAACTGAGCTTGAGTAGGCTAATGAAGTTTATGCTGCATGAGCACTGCATTGTATAACTCTCCAGCAGCAAGCGAATTATCATCAGTGATACGAACTTACAGTGACTCTCCGTTGCCAGCGCAACAAACACCCCCTGAGCACCAGACAGTAGCCTAAGTCAGTGTTGTATATGCGCTGTGAGAATAGATGCTGAGGGCCTTTGACCATTCGCAACTTACACTGACCGTCCATTTCCAGCGCGACAGACACCTCCTGAGCGTGAGACAGTAACCTAAGTCAGTGTTGTGTACGTGTACATGTGTGCGCTGTGAGAACTGATGCTGAGGGCCTTTGACCATTCGCAACGCGTCACCTCTAGCCATCTGAGAGCCTTCCTGACTATTCTCACAAGTCGATGTGTGACAATGACTCACGCTGCTATCTATAGTGGTAGTGCTCACGAGGTGTTTGTCGCGCTGGAAATAGAGTTTTTAGCAGGAAATTGTCCAAGATACGAGTAGGACATGTACTTCATAAGTATGCTGGTCTGAACTTTGTTTGTGCTCTTGCTCATTTTGTCTTGTGTGTGTGTGTGTTATTACCTGATGATGGCCAAGTGCCGAAACGTTGTAAAATAACGGAACTGGTTCGGATGTGATATGCAGCGCTATGGGAATGGGTGTGTCCACCCGAATTCTTTTCACAGATGAAGCTGCAGGAAGCCTCAGCCCTTCTTCAAAAGTGTGTGTGTGTGTTCGTATTAAGTGGCTTTCACTGTATTTTGTACATAGTCGATGATTGGTTAGACCATTTTCGTGGCTATTGTCCGGTTTGAAATCACCCAGTCTGTTCCCAGGATTCCTATTTGTTAAGCTGGAGTTCTGGAGCAGTGTTTGTGGTTGCTCCCTACGTTCCTCTGTAAAGGTGGCGATTCAGATGAAGAAGTAGCGAAGGCTGAGGAAGAGGAGGCGCTTGCGTTCCAGTCAGAACAGCAAGCAATGTTGGAAGGTGATGACTTTGGCTGGGCAGATGACGGTGGCGCAAAGCCTGATGCTGACGAGGACGCTTCCGCACCAGAAGAGGTAACGTGCGTTGATAGTGCAATGTGCTGTCTTCCTGGAACACTGTTGTCTTGCCCGATTCAGCTTTGTACTGTAAAATAGCTGGTAAGAACTCGGCTTGATGTGTCCTTGTTTGAAAGAGACACTGCGCTGTCTGTACACACCCATCATGCCGATACTGTCGGTAGACCATAACAGTGGAAGCTGTGTTCAACAGCACAGATACGTCGCTTTCATTTGTGTGAAACTGAGTGCTGGCTGATGATTGATGTTTACCAGCGAGTTGCTGTACATCTAGTATTCTTCCTCTCCTTGCGTAACAGAATTTTGAACCGAGAATCTCTGCTGTTTTACAGTATTTTTTTAAAAAATTCTGTCCCTGTGTGTGCGTGTGTGCATGTGTGCGTGCGCACGTGTGTGTGTGTGTGTGTGTGTGTGTGTGTGTGTGTGTGCATGCACACGTGTGCGCATGTGTGTGTGGTATTTGTGCGTGTGTATGTGTGTGTGTGTTTGGGGGGGGGGGGGGTGTATGTGTGTGTGTGTGTGTGTGTGTGTGTGGCTGCTTGCACAATTTTGTTCGCAGACAGTACTTAAGCGCAAGGCTGGTATGTCAGATGCTAAGTGGGCAAAGGTAGGCACGTATTACTTTGTAAACTGTTCCTAAAATGATCGAGAAAATGCCGTCTTTACAGGGATATAACGTGCACCCAACTATAACCCTCCGGCCAGCATTTTGGCCATTCAATGTATATTTGGAATGTGATGCACAGCCTGGGTTTGAGAAAGTTATGCACAAAACTTGCCAGGTACGATGCATTGCTTATTATCGTGTCATATGCTGTAAACCTCGCACCCGGTGTGACACATTGCACTACATTGCATGGATTTTCACCACGGTTCAATTGATCGTGAATTTCACCCAGCAATTACTCGATTAGATTTGCTAAGAAACAGTGTTATGTTTGTTACTCTTTTTCTTTAGTGTTTACATTCCATCTTTCCGCTGCATTTCTGTGAATGTTCATTACTCTATATGCTGTTATTGCACTTGCAGTACATGGAAAAGATGCATCCTGAGGTTGTAACTCTGAAGGAACTCGTTGCGGCAAAGGTAGTGTTTTGTTGTGTTTTGGGCTGAGTATCTGTTCATTGTGACCATCTGTGCCTAGTGTGGTCTTCATCACACTTTTTTGTTTGGAGTTTTGGGTATTACCCCTTTAGAGCCCACAATTATTTCAAGTAATGCACTTCATACGCGAGCCCAGTTACTTATCTGGTCGTAACTTTGGTGTCCTTTGGCCGATTTAGGTGAACTTGGGCTTTCTGGAAAGCTCTTGGCCAGAGGAACACAGCGATAGCCAGCAATCCATCACTAGATCCACAGAACCAGCGCCGCAGCGCGATTTGGCGCTCCAAAGCCAGCATTGCGAGCGCCCAACTCAAATTCTCTGCCATTTCAACAGATTGTATCGCAGATCGCTCAATTTTTTTTCAGGAGAGCTGAGAAACATGCCTTTGCGATGACCTGAACTATCTCTGGCTGCGTGGGCCGCGAGTCGGGGAAATCCCCCAAAAACGACTTCAAAATACACGCGCCCGAGTTGACTCTGCGGAGCGAATTTAGTTCGAGTCTCATAACTCCGCTCTCCGACCTCAGATCGCCTTCGGGTTTTTTCGAGCCGATAGCTGAGACAATTCTTATGTCGATAGACCTTTCGATTGTCCGATTTGGTCAAGGGACGGCCGAGTTACGCCAGATTGCGCTTTGAAAAGTATGCACTGTACACTGGTACGGATATATCCGTACTATGGGCCTCAAAGGGTTACAGACTGTGGACTGATTATGCTGTCATAGTGGTTGATGTTGTTCAGTGTCGTCTTACCCTACACTACTGATATACAGTCCTGATAGCGTTGTGGAATAATCTCGAGGTAGAGAGCGTTGGCACTGTTCTCTTCTCGTTTTGTATTCTGCGGATCAGAATCATTGCCTATCCAGCTAAGACAGCGTGCATGTGCACTGTTCTGTATTTGTCTCCGCAGACCCAGCAGGCGGATGACGTCGAGGTGCTGCTGAAACGTGGACGGGCACTGAAGCAAACTCACAATGTCAAACAGGTATGCTGTGCATCGTGCATGTGGGCAGCACCATTGCCACCGTTCTGAGGGTCTGTCTACATTTGAATTGTATCGCTTAAAAAATTAACCCATTTCAGCACGGCATTGTGCATTGGAGTTCAATCTGGAGGTGTGTGTATCTGACGATCGGGTAGTGACCCGAGCATTTCCCACATGGTGTTGCGAGAATGTGCAACATACAAAAACATTTGCACTATGCCTGCCAGGCCTGTGTCCACTGGTTAGATTCCAGTCAACATCGACCCACGTCAGCCAGCGCTTCCCGCAATGATAGTAGTGTTTACTTGTGGACAGTGTTGTTTGCTTGGGGACTCTGTGCTCCAAGCTCACAACTGCCCCCGCAGATGTACATGTACTTTGAATTCTCAACTACGCACTCCGTTGTGTTGTGCTGCCCTCTGTGTGCCCTCTGCTGCAGGTTGTCAAATTCCTGGGCTATAAATTCCAACTGCTTCTAATGTAAGAGTTGGGTTGGCTGCCATTTTCTTTTGTGTACTATCAGTACTGCATGTGCTTCCAACTTGGCCTGTTGTGAACTTCATTTTGAGATTTCAAGATTTGTTCTCAGCCTTTAGACTAGTGACCTCTTTTTGATGCATGGACAGTTCTGTATAGAAGGTGGATCAGTTTCAGCGGCTACTTGCCTTCTGTGGGACCGTTTCCTTTTGTTCTTTCAAACTGTAGTGTCACAGAGGTGGCTCCAAAATGGAACAGTTTAGAGTCCACTCGAAGTTCTTCTTCGCCCTAGCCCTGAAAATGTCTTAGTGCTCTCGCTCCATCAGAGCCAGTACAGAGAAGCGAAAAGCAGAGTGTTCTTGCATTAGTTTACATCTGTGAAAGTCGGCTTATCGGCAAGAGGCGAACCACTGTTTGCTTGCTATGATCAGATGAATTGCAATAATATAGGATCATTCCTATTTTATAATAGCAATAAAGAGAACAAATTCTGCAGTCATCGCCACACTACAACGAAGTAATGAAAGTTTACCAGAATTAATTTTCTTGTCACATTCATCAGTGGAAAGTCGTGACTGAAGAGTAACCATGCTGAACAATGGTTACTGGTTGTTGTCTCACCCTAAGTATCTGCAGGTGTATGATGATTTTAGTTTTTCTGTTCTTTGTCGTGCACGGCATGCTAGTCAGTTGAAAGTACTTGAGGCTGTTTGTATTCGTTTGCATAAGCCTGATCTTTGTAAGCAGAAGAAACATGTAGTTGCGTTAAAATTGTTTTCGTAGGTGCACAGCATGATTGTTTGTCTCACTACACAGTTTTAGCGTTATAATTATTAGTTTCTCACCCGCCGTTGCACTTAGCTCTCACTTCACTTCTATTGTCTTACCTTCCCTCATTCTATTTTGGCACTGTATTTTGTTCTCGTAACACATCATTGAATGTATATTTAATCATTGTTCAGCATGGTTACTCTTCAGTCACGACTTTCCACTGATGAATGTGACAAGAAAATTAATTCTGGTAAACTTTCATGACTTCGTTGTAGTGTGGCGATGACTGCAGAATTTGTTCTCTTTATTGCTATTATAAAATTGTTGTCTCCACGTCGATTATTATTCCTATTCATCTCTCTCTCTCTCTCTCTCTCTCTCTCTCTCTCTCTCTCTCTCTCTCTCTCTCTCTCTCTCTCTCTCTCTCTCTCTCTCTCTGTCTCTTCTCTCTCTCTCTCTCTCTCTCTCTCTCTCTCTCTCTCTCTCTCTCTCTCTCTCTCTCTCTCTCTCTCTCTCTCTCTCTCTCTCTCTCTCTCTCTCTCTCTCTCTCTCTCTCTCTCTCTCTCTCTCTCTCTCTCTAGGTCAGTTCAGCATGCACTCTTCTACTTACACATTCTACACAAGCAAACGCCGGGAGCCAAAAACCATCCGGTTGTCAAATCTATTTTCAGAGACGAAGTGGTAAGTCTGCCTGATTGGTCAATGTTGAATGTGTTCTCTGGTAGAGTTCACTTGTAGTAGTAGTTGTATAGTTATTGTGTGGATGGGCAGTGCCTGCGTCTTTGCGTGGAAAAGATTAGGTTTGGGTTCTTCCGTCATGGGTTTACTGTTCGATTTTTGCTTCGATGTGTAGCACCAACCAAGTGGTGTTGACTGCCACAGCGATAGTATTTGAGCTGCTGAGAGATGATGGGCTGCTGTCAGGGCGGCTAACATTGCTCAAGATTGGCCATCCTTGCCAGGAGCTCCTACATATCGCTCCTTGCAGTGCAGTTAGCTGCAGCACATGGAACCTGCGAGCCGTAGTCAGTCTAGGGGATAGCCATGGCACAGAGGGTGTGGTGCAGGGCCTCGTCCAGTGTTGCGAGAGACTGACGACAGGTGTCCAATCAAAGCTCCCAGCTGTCCAGCCTGTCGATTTTTTGGTCTTCTGCAAGCTGTTCTCAGACATCCGCAACCAGGTCGGGATACACCAAACGGACAGCTCTGCGGCTGGCTTGGCAGAAACCCGACAACAATTCACCTTTTCGCTGTCTTCCGTTCCGCGCGGCGAATATGAACGTGGACCGCTGGGGAGAATCTACGCATGCGCAGGTTGACTAACATCTCCATGTACTGCGGCGTTGAGTGAGCTGTAGTAACTCTGTGTTGCCGACCAGGTACTACAATGACCTATGTGCTGCCTGCTCATCGTTGGTCCAAGCATTGACTCGTGCCACTTGCCGAAAGTGTGCTATCCATGTTTTCCGATCCGTCGACGAGCTGCCATCCGTGTACCGATTGGCCGGAGGCGGTCTCTGGTTCGCGGCTTGTTGCTATAGTTGCGCCATTGTTCAGAACTGCACAACCGATTGCTCCTTTCATGCATCAGCGCACAATAGTTTATAGCAAACAAACAAAACAGAAACCATGAATATGATGTGAAACAGGCCTTTCTTATGCAAAGTAGAGAAACATGTAGTCGATCCAGTCACAAGTGGCCTCGTGACTTCTTAGAAGAAAGAGTCCTGTACAGGGCTAGTTTAAGGAATTACTTGTGAACAAGAAGCTTAGGGACTGATTGCCTTCCGTTTGCTATTTCTTTGTTCAAGATATTGGAGCGCTTGGAAAACACCGGCTCACACCTTCAACCCATGATAGATGCGCTGGAAGGCGGCGATGATATGGAGGCGGCAGAGGCTGAAGGTCAGTAGTTTTGCTACTGCGTCTGCTCTTGTTTGTCTTGTTTCTGGCACTGTGTTGCTTGTTACCCTGCAGTTTGCTGAATTTTCAGCTGTGCAGAATCTGTACTGCTCCAATGGGCACCTGTCTTTTTGTTCTTCTTTTTGTTTTGTTCAGCGTATGGTGCTCAACAGCCAGCCGACACGCGGTGAGTTGTTTTCTACAAAGTACAGTGCTACGCATTGAAATCTAGTCTCGCCTGTAGCGGGGACATACACTACAACCGCAATCATTCTCTTCAAAGTCCCTCTCATTGAAGCAAGACCGATGCCGTTGACAACTTTACAACTTTACATGTTTACGTGCATACACACCTGCTAGGGTCAGAGGGCTATAAGACCGTTTTATGCAGTAAGATGGTTCAGATGGTTCAGCTGACCACCATAACAAGTTTTTTTTAAAGAGTAAATTATCGTGTCCGTTCCCGAAGGGAACTCACGGCAGCCGCTAACACCCGGTAAACCCTACCTTGGAAAGGAAGAATTGTTCATGATTTGATCGCGAGTACATGCTGGCTGCATTACGTTGCTGCACGGCTGCTCTGGTCTCTGCTGGTGCAGAAGGGAACCAGAGCAGATAAGCGGGGTCTGACCGCCATGTTCTGCTCGTGGGTGTGATGCACTCAAGTTTCGTCAATCCTGGCACTAACCGTGCACATTTCTGCCATGTAGCAAATTCATGGTGGTGTTTGAAATTTATGTGAAAATTGAACTTTGAACACAGCCGGTTTGTTAGGAATGAACCTTAGATACTTTTGGATACTACGAAGTAGTATTGGAAAAGAGTTTGAGACTGATCTTTGTTTTATTTGTTCATGGCTCTTGCTCACGTCGCGCTCATGATAGAACTGAATATAGTTGTCTCATTCGTCATTTTTGTTTCTCTTGAGTGGCGCGCCTACGACCGCTCTTGGTTATGGATTCTAATTATACATACATACATGTACATTGTGTAAGCCTCTACTAATATTTAACTGTCCTTTGTGTTCGTGTGCGTGCACAGGAAATCGCGAAAGCAGGCAAAGAAGGACAGGCTGGAGAAGGCAAAGCAGCAACGTGGTGCTGCACAGGGTGATGAAGATGACAGCAAGTAAGAACATTTTTTTAGAGACTACATGTACTGCACTGGTGCAAAGAGTACATAAACCAGAGTGTGCAACTCCGCATATGGGCTCAGGACAGCATAATTCGTCGCTTACGTCAGTTTTGACATCAATAAACTACGCAGTGGCAGTAAAAACCGGTGTCATGAGTCATGTTGATGCAGTATAACACTCGCGTCATGGATCACGACTCGGGTGATTCATCATGAATTCCTCTTTCCCAGACTGATGTTGAGTTGCACGCTTTCGTTCATGTACTCTTGCTTGTACACATAGCACATGCAGTGTGATGTACTGACACGGCACCCCGGTCTCTGACACGGTCTTGCCAGTATGAGGGAGTCGAGCATTGCAAGTAGAGAAGCGGCCAGCTGAGATCGATTCTTGTCGGACGGTCCCTCATCAACCTGGCACATACCGTAATGTCGCGTATAAAAGCAGGTGCTTACGGCCGTATAAGCCGGGGTTCAAACCATGCTTCTATTCAAGTTATGCTTCTATTCGAAACATGCTTCTACGTCAACATCATCAGTCTGCACTGTGCAGTGCATACTGTCACGCATGTACTCGCACATGTACTTTACAGGGAGCGGCTTCTATTCAAACCATGCTTCTGTGTTACGGCGCGCTTCAAAAAAATCGGCTTCTTTTCGAGTCATGCTTCTATACAGGTCATGCTTTTATACGCAACACTACAGTATCCAGGCTACATTTTAGGAAGAGAGGAGGGGGAGGGGGGAGAGGATGGCATTGGGAGGGTAGGATCGCAAGACATTGCCGACCTGCCATCAGATATCTGTTCTATGAGGAACGTATGAGGTGGATGTGTAGTATCATATCATTCATATCGAGAGTACATAAACCAGAGTGTGCAACTCGGAGTGGTTCCTGTGGGAGCGAATTTGTGCAGTACGTCATTTCTGACGGCATGGTAAGCCACAGGTACGGTGAAAAGTTGCATAACAAGTCAAGGCGGTGCAGGTCACTGAGTTTGTCCTGATTTCGGTTTTTTGATACGGATAGCCTGGTGAATTTACTTGTCGGTGAATGTACACAGTCACACAAAACACCGAAATCCTGAAACAGGATGTCTAAAATCAAGCAAACTTGGCTGATTTCCGGGCTATGAAACACGAAAAATTGAGCTCTACGCAAGTCGCGGCTTGGCTGACCTCATCAGGGTGGCGTAGTGCACGAACTGCGCTGTTTCAGATCTGATATGCACAGTTGCGCACTCTGGTTTATGTACTGTTGTTCATATGTATTCTAATTTTTGCTGGCTTCTTCTTTATGGCGATCTGCATTGTACAGTGAAGAATTTGGCGGCAAGGCAGAGGCGGAAAATGGTAGTGAAGAGCCCGCTGCTAAGCGTGCCATCACTTATGAGGTAAGTTTGAAAGCACCTGCTTCTTCCGAGTTCTTCGGTTTGCATTTAATATCTCTCTGTGCTGATTGCTGTCCATGTTTTGTATGAGCCAGGAGAGTAAATTGAGTTTGCGTACATGTAGCATAGAAGTTACAACGCTTACAAATCTTGTTTGAGGGTGTGTATGCGTAACCACTTCAGTCCAGTGGATTGGGAAGTAATTGTTTTCTAAATCATATGTCCTTCAGTAACGTTGTCGGTGATGTACAACTTGCGACCTGCTCTCTCCTCGCCTTGGCCAAGGCTAACTGCGTGCATGTGTACACACATAATCCTCTGCCGTGTCTTCTATTGCAGATGGCTAAGAACAAGGGTCTGACGCCGCATCGCAAGAAGGAGGTGCGCAACCCACGCGTGAAGATGCGCAAGAAGTTCCACAAGGCCAGCATTAGAAGAAAGGGACAGGTTAGTGCTGAGATTGTGGATAACGGTGTACAGTACAGATCTCGATAGGTGTAACTGTTATGATGCTCTGCTGTTTTCTACGTGGGGCACACAGGCCAGTGTGGGTATAAATCTAGATGCCAATAGTTGAGTCTGGAAGTATCTCTGTGGGGGCTGATTTTGGCCGAACTAGGCTCGCACTCCCACCTAGAAAATTATGAGTGTTGAGCCTGCAGCTCCATGGTTTGAGTCATGTCAAACCAGTGCAAACTTCCTCCTGGCCCACTTGTCAGACCTCGGATAGGAACAGGAACTTGGAAAAACTGTGCGTTGTATGCAGCGAGGAATCTGTAAACTCTGTTCATTGTATCTCCTGAATTGAAATGGGGTGCATGCATGACACCGAAAATTAGGGTGTCACCTCTGTCTGGATACACTGTAGGGCTGGTCAACCCCCCCCCCCCCCCGTGTGCTTCACTGTATCGTACGGACATTTTGACTCACCTCCTGCTCTTATTAATCCTGGTTGTGTGTTCTGTGCACAATTGTAAGTCGGTGGTAAACGCGGATGTGCTGACTTCACTTCACTTTACTTCCCATATTGTGCTCCCGTCTGCCCAGGTACGGCCAGTGAAACAGCAGCAGGGCGCATACGGCGGTGAGCTCACCGGTATTCGTCGTGATGTCACCAAGAGCGTGAAGTTCTAAAGACAGCGCTATAAGTTGAGGGGAGCAGGCGGCAGGATTCGAGGGACATGCGAGCGCCTGGCCACTGCGCGCATCTTACTTCAGACTTCATCTGAGAAAGAGGTGTTTCCAGATCACGTCCGATAAAACCGAGTTGATGAACCATCTATTTTGTAACTTTTGTTCAATTCCTGTTTTGAGCAACATGGCTTACGCTTGGATCCAAAGTTCCAAACTTGACTCAGTTCTTATGGATCACCAATGTGGCCACATCCAGCCACCGCATCTTGGTGTTCGGTACGATGGCCAGAGTTTATGTCAGCAGTTGGTGCTTGCAACTTTGGCCATGCTTCCTTTGAAAGAGGTCCGCTCCATCCCAGGGCTTGCCCCATCATCTGACTGTGGCGTCCTTTCATGCTCCGCGTCGTCTGGCGATCTTCTACTGGCGGACTCCAATGGCGGAGGCTCGGGGGTAATCGGGATGATTGCTGTCCTCGTTTTGGCCGTGGGAGAGTGATTGATTTCTCCCCAGCACAACCTGGACCTAACCAGTACTCTTTGCTCTCCCTTTTTTACATCTGTAGCAGTGTCAGTTCTTGTGTTGCAATCTCAGTATCTAGACGACGATGACAGCTCAGTGAATTCGGAGACTATTCTCTGTGAATCTCATTTCCTGTTCATAACACAGCTCCACTGTGGTCAGTGCTTGTTTAGTTCAATAAATGACGCCTGGCTTCCGAGTATTGCTCACACTTCACAATCCTATTCTGCTCGTGTTGCGGCACATTATGCTTGTCTACTTGGCGTATGTGACGATGTGCTGCTGTGCAGAGGGTGGAGATCGAAACTCCTGTCGGTCCACGTGCTGCGTGACACAACTTGGTGTGCCCTTGTTTGGCTAGCTAATCGGTTGCTTATTGTGGAGCTCCGGAGGTGGTTTACTTCACGCTGTGGAAATAAAACATAAAAACCGAGTACTGTCTTCTTCTTGTTTGAGTAGTTGAGAGCATAGTAACACCTGTACTGGGGATCCATGTGGATCTGACCTTGGGTCCCTTAGGCCCTGACCTTGGGACTTGGGTCATTGTGGACCTAACCCCATGCAGATCTGTCTGACCTTGGGTCCATGTAGACCTGACCGCGTCTGCGTGTTATTCTGCCAGGTGGCCTGTATGCACAAGCGTGCTCTTAGCTGATCCCCGACTCGGCGGTATGTGTCTGGAAGTGTGACCTGCCGCTGTATGAGCATAGCAGCAGTTTGACGAGGATCTCTGAGCGGCGGGAAACGCGGTCCTGTGCCTGTAGCATGTTTCCTGAATTTCGTGTGGTTATCCCATGGAGTCGGTATTTTACGACTTCCTGGTGTGGACAAAGGAGTGATAAAATCGTTTCGCAACATGGGATAACCTGTCATAATATTATTATGACAGGTTATCCCATGTTGCGAAACGATTTGGGCGATTTCAGCCAATCAGCAGCTGTTCTGAGCGGGGAATGTGACTATGGATTGTACTACTCCCTGGATTATACCATGAGTACGAGGGGTATACATGTACCGCCGAATATGTTCACGAGTGTGTTAGCACGATGGAAAATAATTATGAGGGACACTAGTGTATACACAGAGTGCGAATGGTGTAATCTATTCACAGTCAAACCTGTCCTTGCGGACACCTGAGAAAACGGACACGTGTAAAGTGAGGACAGCTGAGCTCGTCGCAGTCATGTCACTTCTCTGCAGTTGACGTCACAGTGTAAGAATTAGCAGAGAAGTAGTGTTCTCTGTCCACCCTGGAACGGGCGCGCGGGTACGAGGAGCACAGCGTGGGATAAATAAAAGTGGGTGACGAATGCAGGGTCTTTTGTCTTGTGCTGTGCTGTGGTGGCCCCCACTGCTCCCCTCCCCGCCCTTCCACTCCCCATTTTGTTTCCTTTGGTGCACATGTGCAGCTGTGATGCCGAGACCCTTGGTCGGCTGAGCTTCACAGGTCCCACCCACTCCGTTCTGCTGGATATGTACCATTGTGTCGAGTTCTTCTCCTCATTTTAGTTTATTAATATTATGCAGTGAGTGTTCAATAGTAAAAAAAAAACTAAAAAAAACTGGCAATGTTGACGTGTTCAGTACACACGGACTGACAGTAGTGGTACAGTGTACATGGTGTGCACGTATGAGTGTGCGGATGTGCGCGCAACGAGTGGAGTGCAGGGTGGACAGTACGAGAACCATTGATTTGGTGTACTGGCATGGTATACCTGGTATACAGTCAACTAATTACTTCGCTGATAACGACATTCGGCGGGGCATCAGAAAAGTGTCCTTATTCGCGAAGTGTCCTTATACCCGAAGTCTCATTATGAGTGTCACAGTTGGATATGGGACTTTGCTCTGGGCATGAAAATTATGTCGCTATTCGCGAATTGTCGTTATATCCGCAGTCGTATTAGCGAAGTTGACTACAGTCAACTTCGCCAATAACGACATTCGGCGGGGCATCAGAAAAGTAGTAGAATAGTAGTAGTAGAATTTATTATTTTGATAGGGAAGGCCCTACAGTGTCCTTATTCGCGAAGTGTCCTTATAACCGAAGTCCCATTTGAATGTATGTGAACCCATATTTTGTATAGTATGACATGCATATCAAAATCAAGCTCTTTTCTTGCTCTATGTCAATGTGTACTTTATTTTCATATTGCAGTTGAAAGGAACTAAAAATTCAAAATAATAATGCCTTTTTGAGCCATCTACAGGGCCAGAGACATGTACATGTACATGTGTGATGATTACTGTACAATCATGTACAACTACATGTACATAGTCATTGTATACATACTGTATACATGTAGGTGTGCTGGTAAATCCAACAATTTTGAAGCCAACATAAAAAAGGAAGAAAACGCCCCCTCCCCCTTGGCTGCATTTTCTTGCATGTGTGCCTTTATAATAATATCCATCACCATGGCATAGTCCATAGGTTCTGGTACTTCTGCATGACAAGTACATGTACTTGACTGACAGGTACTTGAAATAGCTGTCAAAAGCCCAGAAAGTCGTTATTCAAGCAGTGAATATGACCTCGGGGCACTAAAAGCATGTCGCTATACGCGAATTGTCGTTATTCAGATAGTCGTTATATCCGAAGTTAAATGTATACAGTTAGATGGGACTTTGCTCTGGGCATGGAAATTCGGTCGTTATTCGCGAATTGTCGTTATATCCGCAGTCGTTATTAGCGAAGTTGACTGTATTATATTTTTTGCGGTGTTCGCAGACACTTGAAAACGCGGTAACCTGTGAAATACGCCGGACACCCCTGTGTACCCACAGCACTGTGTTGCACTGATCTCAGCCTGACAAATGCCGACACATTGACTGGAGGGGGGGGGGGGGGGGGGGGGTGTAACAATGATTCGGTTACAATTAATTATTTACATGTAGCTCGCAGTCACAGGTCCTAGCCTTACCCTGACCTGGTCTTGGCATTTCATGTTCTGGCACACCATTGACTTGTACACTGGCCGGTGGGTCAGCAGGAACTTGAGGAAGCTGTACTGTACTTGTGTCCAGTCATCATGCCATTCATGGCCATGGTATCATTGATTCATTGGTACCGTATTTTCCCCATCAAATGTACAGTACTTTTATTTTTTCAAAGGTGGTCAGACCTGTACTACTATAACGACTGTACTAGTACCGTAAAGTACCGCCAGAGCGCCCCGTCTCGCGAGAGCGCCCCACCTTGATTTTTTACAGCCAGAGAAAGGAAAATCGTATGGCGGAGTGCAACGAAGTGTGTACGATGTGAGAATCTTAGTGTACTGAGGGGCCTATTATATGTGCAACTCCAGCCCGGGCTGGAGCAAGCGGGCCAGCCCGCCAAGGGTGTTTACATGTGCAAGGCCGGGCTGGTCGCCAGCCCGCAGTGAGTTTATATGCGCTGAGCACACCCCAGCCCGTCGTGAGTATGCAGCGAACACACTACGACTGTGGTGTGCTGCCCCGGGCTGAAACGCAGGGCTGCAAGCCGAGGTATATTATGTATTATCCATATAAAAATCGCTCTGTGAGCGGTTCTGAAAAACCTGTACTGGTACTGCCCCGTCGTAAAAGTAAGAAATTAGAACTGGCCCATTGTCCCCCCAAATGCGAACTGATCCACCTAAATCGCGAATGACGGGACCCGAACGCACCAGTAGCACGAGGTCGGGATGGCACAGGATCACGGCAATTATCATAGGGTAACACCAGTAGTAGCAGTAGAATTTATTATTTTGATAGGGAAGCCTACCGCTAGTACAGTACATGGCCTATGGTCCGGACCAACGTCCCCATCTGCATCCACAGGTAGGAACCTCGTGCTACTGGTGCGTTCGGGTCCCGTCATTCGCGATTTAGGTGGATCAGTTCGCATTTGGGGGGACAATGGGCCAGTTCTAATTTCTTACTTTTACGACGGGGCAGTACCAGTACAGGTTTTTCAGAACCGCTCACAGAGCGATTTTTATATGGATAATTTCAGGTCTTTTTCCGTTCCCTCCGGCTCCCCACCCCAACCCCGAAGGTAAACATGATGACCACGCGCGCGATGTACTGTATGTAGCCATGCGACTGCAATAACACACTGATACATACCAGCCCTCCCCGCCTCGCTACCCCGCACACAGATACACAAACATGTGTATGCACACGGCACACACACGTGGCCACGCACACATACGCACATGCACACGACACAAACAGGAAATTCTTCATGTATAATGCCATGCAAAGCAGTGGCCACCGTACTTGAGGAAGTCAGTTGTGAAACAAAAATAATTCAACTACAGCGTGTAGACAAGCTGACGGCCAAAGCACAACATAGCAAACATGACATTTGCCCAAGGATTGCAGTTTGCAGACCATGCCATGGAAGCAGCGAATACAGAATGTAATATCATACAAAGTGACAAGCAAGGACGTGGCCATCATACACCAGAAACTTGCAGAAAGTCACATATCCAACAGATAGAGAAGTGAACAGCAATCTGATACAGCCCACAGAGGACAAAGCGGACCTGATACTCGTCCCAGGATCGCAAGTGGCAAACCCTTTTCAATGCATAACATGCAGGTGTACGTTAGACGCATGAACATCTGACCGTGTCGCCAGCATACAATGTCATCACATGTTTACCCCACAAGTTACACACATGCACAGTAGAAGCACAATGAAAGCAATGGAAAAGTACGATGTGGTTGCTGAAGCATCTTCACACTTCAAATTCAGACTTCAATGTGGTCGTCACGGGATGATATACCTGCAAGATACAAGTGATGAAGAAAGAAAGCAGAAGGTCGTGAGGTAGGCTATGAGACACCACAAACGGTTCACCTACATGTCTGTTCAGGGCTAGTGCACTCACATGGAGAATTGTCATAATCGAGCATTTCCCAAACTGAGAAGTGCAATGAAATCCACTTGCATGCACAGGAGCAATTTTGCAATATTATGATGCGCAATTCGACACCATCTGCGATGCTGTGTGCGATGTGCCCTGCTGTCATGATAGTGACAGTCACCGCAGTATGTTTTGTCAACGTCGCCCGTGCACTCTTCTGTCAAGTCCAAAGTGCTCACATACTTGGCAATGTTTTTGCAGTGATTAACTTTTATCCTAGTTATGTCACGGATAACTTTAATGAAGTACCCGCAGGCCGTGTCGATCTGCACATCGTCCACTCTCTCATGTACTTGGCCTGCTTTGTCTGTGTATCCATTTCATGTGCGATCCACAAAATCGACTAGACAGTGGGTGCAATACGCTCTCTACCTGAAGACGTTCTTCTGGCGACATCTCGCCATGTACTTGGCCTGGCTTTGTCTGTGTATCCATTTCATGTTCGATCAACAAAATCTCAATGCACTACAGAGACTAGACAGTGGGTGCAATACGCTTTCTATCTTAAGACGTGAACCATTAATTTTTTTTGGAAA